TTCGCTATCTTCATGAATGATCCGACATTTGAATGTTCTCTTTCTTTCTGTACATATATCAACACACTCGATGGTACTTCGCATATTCCTCACAATTACATAAATTGCTTCCATAACTACTTTCTTGGGAAAAACAGAAACATAATGTAACAACAAAATCATAAGCCTACGAAATAAGGAAGAAATTCACCGTGTAATTTCACGTAAGAAAGGAAAAGGGGGACAAAAATGTTTCAAACGTTTTTCCCGCCCGTTTAAGATATCAGCCGGCAAAAATATTTCGCTCGCATAATCGAATTTCTCCCGGTTCACCTGCTTCTCGTCGCGAGATAAGGGAAAAGGATTTTCGCGCGCCACAATGTCTACAACGTCACGTGTTCGTCGTGCACACATCACATTCCGGCGCGACGACGACGTCCGCCCACGCGTCCATACGACTTCGCGAGGCCACGCTGAACCTAACCGGAGATGATATCGGTGCGGAGAATTCGGACGATGCCACGCCGGGAACGCGGACACCTAACCTACGACATCCCTCCTCTCCGACCGGAAGTCGCGACGTGTCACGATTTTCCATGTGTTTTTCCGAGTACAAAGTACAGGGAAATTATTAATTATTCCTCATGTCGTGTGTAAATGAGATATACGAGGGAGATTGTATATTTTTGCATTGTTGCACAACAACAACAACAACAACAACAACACACTTTTCCTGCGAATTTTCCGCATATTCATCGTCGTCCATCGACACGATCTTCGCGTTTCGCGAGAATAAGAAAAATAGAAGAAGAAGAAGAGAAAGAAGAAGAAGAAGAAGAGAGAGAGAGAGCCCTATTTTTAATCGGCTTACGGCCGTCTCGACGACCTCGGGGATGCCGATCGATCTACCCTTACTTGGTGCGGAAAACGCGCGCTTCGATTTTCTTAAAGCGGCCGATACTACGTATCCCGGTCCTCCTCTCGCTGCGTCTTTCCGGTTTATTTATTTCCCGAAGCGCGAGAGAGATTCTCTGTCAAGTCTCACGTGGTCGTCGCACGAAAACACTCCTCGAGGCACTCGTGTCGGCGGTCCGCGACTTACTGATGGATAATGGAGTAAAACTGTGAGAGAGGGAAGGGAGAAAAGACCGCAGCGTGCGTGCGTTTGGCACTGGTTCAACGCGGCCGCGTTCACGAGGGAATGACGAAAGGAGGGTGAAGGAGGAAGAAACGTCCCAGTGACGGATCGAGTCATTCCGGGCACCCCACGCTCCCTTATTAGAGGGTTGCCGAGGGTCTATCTTGGGCGCACTCGCGCTCGAAGTAAGCTCGGTTTTAAAAATAGCGCGCCTTTTTTCTCCTCTTTTTTCGAGAGAATGAGAGATATATTAATGCCATAAATTAAAATGAGAAGCGGATCCGATTATATAGACTCATTGTTGATCAAATATTGATTTTGTACGTCTCCACTTGCTATTTACAGACCTTAAGCGGATGTCGCCTTCGAATGTAGGCGTGTCTTTTCAATCTAGTTTATTGGAATTCTGAGATTTTCTTCCCTTTCTTTAAAATTGTTCTTCTGTACTTCTTCTCTATCTCTCTCTTAAATTTTCCTGTTTCATCATATTTCTCTTTACAGCGTGTGATTAAATTCGCTTATTGTTTGCTCGTCTTCTGATAAATCTGTTTCTCAGAAGATGAAAGGGAAGAAACAGAAGGAGAGATTAATTTATTATTCTTAATCAAGATCTGAAGTTTCTACGGAAACTTGGAATTTACTACAAAATTATTAATGCAATCGTGAAAAAGATATAGTCACTTTCTTTCACTAACCAAAATTGTGCAATCTCGACAACTCGTAACCCAATTTAACCGACTAACTAACACGCTAATATGTTTTATGACGACTAATAAACAGATTTTTTTTTATCAAGAACTAATTGAAAATTACAACTTTATTACAACATCGTATTATCATATTTATGTTAATTTATCAACCGTTTAGAGTTTATATAGTAATAAGTTTATTTTTCTAATTATTTCGCAATTTATTTAAATATATGTAAATGTCATTTGAAATCAACTAATTCAACCTATGCTTCTACAAAAAAAAAATTACTTATCTTAATAATATTCCATGAAAAACTCAAGGAAACAAAGTATTTCGTATACATCTATATGCCGCGTGTTATGCTAAATATTTCGTGACGTCAAGGACATAATCATATGGTTGTCTTATGTCTATAACGTGTTCACCTTGTCATTCACGTGGTGAGAGTCGAGTGGGAAGGATGTATATGTCGTAGTATTATCTACCAAAACGTGATCGCGACAAATACTAGCGATTTATTCTACATCTAAAATCAGTACAAACTGCGTTTATTATCAAACTTAATGAATTCCCGATGATTATCGCGTATAAACAAGCTACTAATTCGATTCGCTTAGTATATCGCGCGATATTATAATTTTGCCGATATTGTTATCGAATTTCTCGGTCATTAATAAAATATCGCGTGTAAAGAATGGCTCGACTCCTGGCATTACATAATCCATTTAATTAATAACTCATAGTCGCCTGTATTTTAATTTCGTAGCTTTAAAGCTCAACCGAATAACCGTAAACACATTTCGGGATGTTTATTAATACCAGTAGTGATTTATTAAAATACATATTTCGCGTGCCTTATTTTATATCGAAATCTATCGCGCAAATAATCAGTCAAACGATTATACATTTTTAGAAACATATGTTTTATGAATATTTTATCTTAACTAGAATATTAAAAATTAACAGATTGAAGTCGTATTTTTAATTTCGCTTTGTCCGAAAGTTACAAACCACAAGTCTCATATGTGATACACAAGTTGTAAATTATTATGCTGGCTATGCATTTCGAATAATACACAAGTAATGCATTTTATACCAGCTCCTGAAAACAATATCGTGCTTTGTTATTTTTTTTTAATGGATGATTTTTTAATGGATGATTTTTTAATGGATGATTTATTACTGATGCGATATTTATGATACACACACACACACGCAGTCTCAACCTGTTAAAAAAAATTAATTTTATATTGTAATACAAAATATAATGATCATTCTGAAATAAAAACTATTTAGAAATTAGCATATCCGATAAAATAAAAATAACAATGTTACGAATGGCGCGGAATAAAAACCATATGATATTAGCAACTTTTGCGTGTGAGTATAGTTTTTGCGTTGTTTTTCAATATATATTACAATATAACAAAGTGCGCATTCCACGTGATTAACGTTGGAAATGCCGCGTAAAGTGCTGTGCAATCGTCGTGATTCTAGTGATTGGTGCGAATATGATCATAATCAACCATGTTTTCGCAAGTGAGTGTCATGTGAGTGTCATATGTCGTAAAAAAAAAAAAAAAAAAAAAAAAAAAAAAAAACATGAAAGAAGAAGCTGATCCAAGGAAGCTTTGAATGACGAAGAACAATTGTGGGATAAACAATTTTATGATTTGTGTATTGTTTTTCAAATTTTTGCTTGTTTATTTCTGCCATAATTACACTGTTCAATAAAAAAGGATTTTTTTTTTCAAGACAATTTTTTTATCAGAAACTAGTCATTTCTTCTATTAGTTTTTGACAGGTAAATGTAGTGTTATCTCGTTAAATTTTAAATGTATATATTGTATAAAATATTACCAGATTTTATTATAAGCACCTTAAAATATCTATAATAAAATAATTATATTAATTAATATTGTATATAGAGTGTGTAAAATATTTCTACATTTAAAATTTAAACTAATCATTTGCATTAGTTATATATAAGAATTAAATTTTTCTTTATTTTTATTTATGTTTCTCAAAAGATAAATGTTTCGTATTAATTATATACAGTCTATTTTATTAAATATCTGAAACATTTGATTAAAGAATAAATAAAAAAATGATAGCGCGTAATAATTAATTTTTTAAATATTAATTATTTTTAGACACTTTTCTTATATACATGCGTAATAAAATTTATAATAATATATGTATAATAATAAAATTTAGATATATTTCTTATTTTAGAACAATTATACACTACAATTTCACCAGTGATAAATTATTTTTTATAATTTCAAGATAATAGATTTCTAAAAATTGTAACAAACTTTACATACATACACATATCGCCGTCCGCCCGTGTACATGTATGTCACGTGCAGAACTCGAGGATGATCGACTCGAGAATTAATTAAACAACATTTGGTATAGAATTGATATGGGAGCCTATTCAGAATCGTTTGAACTCAATTTCCATTTCAAACTATAATCAATCAATTGGAGTAGAAATTGACCTCTAACCTTGCTATTCAAATCTTTTATAAATCTCTGTCGTAGATAAGATTTTCATATCTTCAAGAGAAAATACTTTACGTCATCATCAATAATACGCTCTTGAAGTTAAATGATCTATGAATGTTTCATAAAGTTCAGGGAAATAAAAAAATGTTTTGTAGATTTAGTCTGATTACAATGAAAACTCTTAATTTATATAATACTTTATAATATTGAATATTTGATTTTGATATATATTAATATTTTTATATAGAGATATTTTTCTGGCATAAAACATATTTTTCATAAAAAATAATTAGATTATTAACAAATAATATGGCTAGATCGCTCTTATTGTAAATAACAAGGATAGATTATTCATAAATGAATTAGATTATTCATAAAATATAAAATGTAATTTGTTAAAAAATTGCAAAATAAAAATTATGCTGCGTTAACGATCGCAATGTGAATTGAATATTATTCTTACAAATTATCTATCATACACAAAAAATTGTAAATATTCATATAAGTTCTGATAAATTTTTCCATAGTGACACTTGTATTGCGAAAAAATTATAATACTTCTATATATTAATGACTTTTCTATAATTATTTCTTAATATTTTACATATGTAGTATTTTTTATCCATATAAAAAGAAAGAGGGTTAATCTGTTCCAATTGAAAAAAAATTTACGACTTACCACATCCCATATTGTTAAGTACTTCAATTGACCAGGATCGAATTTTTCGAATTTTTTGAACGGAAAGTACAATTTGGTGAAGGCATAGTGTAGTGTGAAGGCGTAAAGCGCTAGACTGACCAGATGGACCAAAGTATTCAAAGTATTCGTCATCTTGGTGAAATTCTGTCAAATTCAGTAAATGCACAGAATTAGTAGAATATAGTATCGATTGTGCATTATAATAGTATATCAATATTGATAAAGAATTATCTATGTGTATTTAATATTTATATATCAGATATTTATATATTTAAAAACAGATAGCATATCGAATTAATAACGATAGCAACAGTACATCGATATCGTGAATGCATATCTTTGCACTAATCTTTAATAATGCTAAAAATTATCAATTGTCAAAAGATTAAATTTTTTAATTATGCATTACACACACGATACAATATCTGTGTATGCCAATATTTATATATAATAGAAGAAGTTTCATAATATTGATAAAGAGATTTACTTTACAGTGATATAATATGTTTACGTAAATTATGTAATATCAATTGTATATATGTATGTATGTCACGTTAAAACTTAATATGTTTAAATCGAATTTTTCGAATATTATATATAAAAATATTGATATACATATAACCGATAATTTTGATAACAATTTTGAGTTCTGTAAATAATAAGATAACAAAAGATATAAAAACAGTTTTTTTTATATTTTTTCGATCATTTATTTCGCCGAATCACGTAGTCAAAATAATTAATTTATAATTCAGCAAATTTTATACGTGTTTCGTGTTGACCTGCGTGCTTTAGCGTGAATATAGCTTAGAATAGCAAATTTTTTAACAATTACGATATCATGTATAAATGCCTCAGTTGATGAGTTAATATCAAAAAGTCAGTTATTTTTTAAAGAAATTTAACAAAATTTATTAAATAAATAATTTCTGTAGTATTAGTGTTTTGTTAACAATTATGTAATATCCGTACATAAAATTCATTTTTATTATAATTACATTGTAATAATTTCTTAGCTAATAACTATATTTGTGATATGTTCATACATTTTTCAATTGGCACATATCTAAGACTCTTGTGTGTTTAGCAATATACAGCGATTAAATTAATTAGACTGTGCTTCATGTAAAGCAGTTAAAGCAAAAAAAAATCAATGCAAAAACTGATTAGTATACCATATATAATTCTGCGAGTGTAACTCGTTCACGCTAGTAAAATAACATATGTAATTATTCATGCAATTTATTCCCAAGGATCAAGAAAAAGAACAAGAACATGCATTACTCTTTTCTTTTTGCTATTTCAATTCTTAATATAACACTAGATTATTAGATTTTGAATATAATTTTAGTCTCGAATTTATATGTACACATGTATTGTGAAATAAATTATTTATGTATAACATTCGAATAATTGCAAAAAATATTTTCGAATCTAAGATTTAAAAATATCAATTTAATGTTATCCTAAAATCAGAAATTATTAAACATAGGCAAAATTATTTTTGTACAATACTTTACAATCTATTTTTGCGATTCTCATACGAAAACTGATGTAATCATTCTTATAGTAGGTAATGCAACTTCTTGCAATAATTATTTTTTAATAATATATACAACGAATTAATATATCTGTCATATTGAGATATAAATGTATGCATATCGATACGTGTTTCAATTTTTATATATCGAACGCAAGAGTTCTTATTTATATCGAATCTTTATATCGAACGTAAGAGTTATAAATCTTAAGAACGATTTATAAAATATTTTTGCAGCATAATACACAACTATATACAGCGTAACGAAGATATAGTTTTCGGTTAGAAATTTTGCGACTGTAATAATACAGTAATTGCATGTGCATTTTAATGACTTAATAATTACATAAATGACAAGATCCGCAGGCATAACAAAATCTATGCAAGACAACTACATATTAATCTTAATAATACTTGATGCTAATAAAAAAATGATAATGTGTTCTTTCAATCATGTCAGTAAAATATGACGATTCATTTCTTGATTTCATTTATCATTAAAAAAAAATATGTTAAGTCACTTTTATACATTTTTTATATAACTATATATATAATTATATAATAATTATATAAAATGTCTTAAAACTTGTATTGTATCTCATGTTCGCAAAATATTCTTTACATTATTTTTCATATATATCTTATAGCCCCACCCTATATTCAATTCATCAATCAATATGATAAGATCAAATAGAATAATCAATGCCTTTATAGCTATCAATGTTAACAATTTCAAAAAAGATTACTGCGGATATAGAGATATATGTGCGCGAATATAATATCTACAATAATATATATAATATAAATGTGTATAATATAAATATATTTAGTAGTTATATATATTTAATATTCTATATATTTAATATTTTATAACTTTAATATTTTGTAAATATATTTATATAGATCACATCCAGAACATTAGAAAAACCTAAGAATAAAAGCGTTTAACTCATACAGTTAAACACAATTTGGTCTTGCGTTACAATACCTCGTTATTCCTCCGTTGATGATTTATTGTCAAGTCACGCAACGACCAAGAGGAACTTCGTCGGCATTCGCACTGATCACAATTCAACACTGACCGTTCGCATGCGAATGATGTGTTACTGGCACGTTAAAAGTTATTAAAAGTTAGATAGTATTATCAAACGGCAAACGTGCACATATATCTATATATAAATATTGCAGTTATCAGAATGACCTCGCGTCACTGTTGCGTCTGAGAAGAGATTTAGATCGCGTCGAGACACGGATCTTCGCGCTCGGCTACAATGACTCGATGATGACTGCACGACGGCGCAGCCGATGATGATAATGACGACTATGCGATCGACGATATAGCCGAGTGCGGCGGATCGTGTATCACGATCCCTGGGCGCGAGAACTATGCGCGCTCATACTATTACCACGCTAACAAAGGTGTATCAAGGCTAACGAGAATCATCTTCTTTCTATTGCATGTTCGAAGTTGGGTGGGGAGAAGTGCATTAACGGGAGAACCTGAGTGACGAGTTGAAGTGTGTAGGTATTTTCGAAAAAAGGGAGAGAGAAATATTTTGAGAAAATGACTTGCTGGACATGATATATATAAAATATCTTTGACGCAATTTTTAAATAAAAAAAATAGAAATATATATATAATTAAAAAGAGAAAGAACAAACATTCATTAAATGAGAAAAAGAACTTTGGAGTTCTAATTATGTTTTGTATATAATTATCAATTATACGTTTGCGTTTCTAAATTTATTTTGCTTAAATTATATTTTCTTGTAAGTTTGACTATTTTAAATTATGACTTTAGAAAAATAATCTGAAATATATATCTTTCGAGACAAAATCTAAACATAGATTTTTTCAATTTATTTAGCTACATATACTCTTCTCGTCTTAAAACGTTAACATTTAAATAATATATTTAAATAAACCTTCCTGTTTAATCAAAGAACTATTTTTATTTTTATAAAATAATTAAAATATAATACTATATTTAAAATTTAGAAAAATAATATAATTTAGTATTGTAAAATATAACTGAGACTATTTTGTAGATCACCAATTTTTTTCAGCACTGTTAACGAGTGATATGATATAATGATGCATTCGAAGAATTACAAGTATTTTTAAAATTTTTGACACAAAATGATACAAAAGGTCGATGTTATCATAGATTGTATAATTTTCGATATATTTTGCTCCCGGATATAACAGATAACTTTTTCATCAAAAAACATTTACATAATCTGAAGATTCTTAATACATTTATAACATATAATATTAAAGGTACAGAAATATTTTTTATGTGTAATAATTATATATTTGTCTTTTTCTCTATATATCGTAATGTAATATAATTATTACTTTAGGAATGTATTTTATATTCAGACATATATTATTATAATATACATATAAATAATAGATATCGTTAAAATATTTGGTTTTTTAACAAATAAAAAGACTTTAAATATGTTAAAGGCTTTAAAAGTTTAAGTATTTTTAAGAGAAAAACATACATATAACTAAATATATTAAAAAACAATTTATGAATTCATATTTTTTTCGGAAGATATATTTTCAGAATATTTTTCTAAAATTATAATTTAAAATGATCAAAATTAATAAAAATACAATTATAAGTTTACGCGAAACAGGAACGCAAATACATCATTGATCAATATACTAGATGACCATGAATTATTTATTAGGACAATTCTACTTATAAATTAAATATTAGCAAAAATAATATTAATATATCATAATTTTTTACTTTACATAAAATTTAAATCTTTAACATCTTGTACATTATGTTTTTACGTTAATACTCTATTAGTTCTTTTGATAAATTAGTTGAACAATTGATATTTTATAAATGTATAGAAATACATATAGAAGATTGTTTTTAATTTTTTTCTCGATTAAACCCATCTTCTTTTTAAAATATATTTAAATAGATTTTTATTTAACTTTTTTATTATATGTAAAAATGTATATTATCAATGCTATATAAATTTTTAGATGATACAATAGTAAAACTAAAACATTTTACCTTTAGTCGATAATGTCAGCGTTCTTTAATTATCTTCATGTTTTATTGATTATTTCATCAAGAGATAGGAAAACATTGAACAGATTTTTTATTTGGCAAACAACGATATGCGCATAAAATCTGTATATAAAATAAGACTTAATATAATAAAATTTTTCATAAAAAGCTAATAAAACAAATCTTACATTTGTATTCTTATTGCTACATCTTTGACATTATATGTATATATTATAATATTATTAAAAAATAATTGTAAAGTATTAACAATTTAAAAAATTGGATTTATTAAAATTAAAAAATAGTAGTTTCACAAAATTTAGATATACATAAAATTATAAAAGTTTTAGTTATATTTTAGTCAATTACATGTGAATTATACGAGGTATAAGTAAATATAAAATTCAATTTTACCCAAATTGAACTTACTTATAAACTATGTAAAATGCGGCACAGATTTCTATAATTATATGTACATAAATATTTGCATTTTTTTTTGTAAAATCATTATTTTTCTGTTTTTAGAAAATCGAATTTTAAATTACTAATATCTGATCATTATTTTTGAATAACATTTAGTATATATAAATGCCAAAGATAACTATTATAAATTATAATAATACGAGCGTCTATAATTTGCTTTATTTCTTTTTTATAAGAAATTTCATTCAATTAAACCCTTTTTTTATAACACACATAATTAATATGCATATATCGAGAAATCTATTATTCTTCCTTATCAGTATCGAATGTTTCAATATTTAAGTACCGATTGATTTATCTCTTTTTACCGCGCGACGCTCAAAAGAATTAACTTGGTATTATCTTTTAATAGAGGAGAACACGGCATAAATTTAAATTTAAACATTTCCATTTTTTTCTTTTTTGTATATAACTAGAGATATACAACGACGTAAATTAATATACATAAACTCTCGATCTGTGACCAACAATTTGACGTGAAAATTGATAATGTTGTCGAACAAATGTAATAATATAATTCCTTTACCGATTCGTCGAGGACGATCATTTCGCCTCGCTGTTCGCCAACCTAGTCACGGCCCTGGACGGTCAGTAAGTCGCCGTGTTCATCGAGCGGTGCCTACGTTAGTACGCTATGACGAGTCAGTCGGTGCCGGCTGGCCGTGTCACGTCAGCGTACGCCATATTTCGAATCGCCAGTTTCGCGCCGGACGTTTCGAGCGGCGTTTCGGTTCCCGACTGATGTTTGACATTTGACGTTTCACGCGCGCCAAATTCGTGTCCCGAGTACGGCGATGCGTCGCCGATAATCGTCGAGAAAAAAAATCGATTGCGCACCGCAACCGATCATATTGAATCATCGTGATCGCGAGGTTGTGCGGTTCTCTAAAATCGTTCGTAGGAGCCTGGGTATACAATCAAGGTAAGATCTTTTGTCTCGCGAGTCTGTATAGCGTTAAGATTACTGCAACTGTGAATTTTGCAATAGTGTTTTTTTTTATTGTTATCCGCGCATTCGTTGACTCTCCTTTGTATGCCTACGCCTGCTTTGAATAAATGTGCATAAATTTTTGCTTGATAAAAGCATAAAAGCATATCGTACACATATTTCGAAATATTTTTTTCTCAAGGTTATTTAAGCTCATTTATCTTCATTAACGAAAGTTTAAGACGTAATTTTTTACTCCATTTAATATCGATTTAATGTCTATAATGAAATTAGAATATCATGAGACACTCTCTCTCTCTCTCTCTCTATATATATATATATATATATGTATATATAATAATATGATGTAAAATTTATTATTACTCCAGAATTTAATGCGCGCGGTTGCGAATTAAACAAAATTAGTGAAAGTACACCGCAAATATGTTTCTTATCTGTACAGTTATGATAATGTTACTTAATAAGTGTTATGACACTTGCGTAAGATTTGCAGCTATGAGGATGACGCATGTCCAAATTATCATCTCTTTCACAAACAACTGTATAACGCAAGATGTACAATATAGTGGTCCGTAAAAATATTTTTTTTCTAGACGGTTTGTCTCTTGTCTCTTTTTAGACTCATTTATAGACTTATCTCTAATTCATCGTATCAAAGTAATCGGATATTCACGAAAGCTGTGATAGAATAAATGAACGTGATGCCATGTACTTAATGCGACGCAAAAATCGATCGGCGATGAGTAATATCGTCCGTTTTATCGGCGCTAATTCAATGACAACCGCAAACTATAGTAGTTTCTTACAGATGATAACCTGGTTTGTGTACAAAACAAGGCGCATTTTGTTTAACATTGAAAGCCTTGAACACTTCACAGAAAGAATTGTCTGGGATTTTTAAAAAAATCTCAAGAATGCGAGATTTTCTAAGACAATATATTATTATATTATTTGAACAACTTACATTAGAGATAATAACTATCCCCTCCTTCTAATTCTGTTTTAAAAATTCTTGTTATATAGTTTTAATTTTATTCCAATTATTTTTTCTTACGAATATCTCAATTATTTTTCTGTCCGACTTTTGTAAAGATATATTTTTTATAATTATATTTATCTTATATACATATATTTAATATCTTATTTCGATGATTGATACTTTAATGGTATTCATATTAAAGTTAAATTAAATTAATAAAAAGTTTAATATCCTTAAAAATATTAAATTAAATATTAAAGTGAAAGTTTCTCGAAAGTTTTTTTTCGTTTTTCATATTTCATAAATGATATCTAAATTGCTTCTCGCATCTAAATTTCTAGAATTTAAACTTCGTATTTTATTTCCAACTTTGTATACGTGTAAATAAAATTACACTATCTAAAAAAACGTTTAAAGTACCTATATTTAACGTTTTTATGTATTGTGTTCAAACAAATGTCATTAAGCCGCGTAGTTCGTAAGAAAATTATTAGACTTTTTATGGATGAGATATTACGATAGACTCGCTGTACATGTTGAGGAAACGAGTGAAGTAATGTCTCTCTTATATTGCTGCCACACATCGCGTTTCTACCGTTACATTACGCAACTTCTTCCTTTACTCTTGTATCGTCAGAAGTCACGCGCAAACGAAAGCGCGTTTCAGACAATAGTGTATGTGTATGCAAGAGAAGAAAAATATGATATTTATGTTTTTGTACAAAATTATATTGTCAAGAATAATAACTGCCGCTATTACGCATATATGTTGCGTATTTTATTCAAGAGTTTTGAATTAGTTTGTATATATTATTGATAAAAATATCGAGAAGATCGCTGCATTTATTTTTAATTTATGCATTCTTAACGTCGATGTTACGCTTAAATACGCAAAACAACATTAGTCATAGTCTTTTGAGAAAAGTTTCTGCACAACTGATGACTCGCATAAGTTGACATTATACATATTAAGTAGTGAAAAACATCGCGTGCGCGAGATAAATGCTAATGAAGTTGTATTCTGTGCAAAATTAAAAACCGATTTTTGTTGTACTTATTTTAATGTTATACATTTTTACTATTTGTTATTTTTGTTTACCGTTAAAAAAAATAAAAGACAAAAAGAAGAATAAATGATACTCGCATTAATTTTTAAATTTTTATTGCGTGTATGTAAGCATTAATATTTGTAATATCTGCAAAAAAATATCATAGATTTATAGCGATCGTTCAATTATTTATTGAATGCGCCAAAAGTTAATATAAGATACATGTTTTTTCTTCGTTTTTTTAAAGAGGATAGAATTTATTAAAGATAAAAATGTTAAATTGAAATTTATTTAGATTTATTTATTCACGATATTTTGTATATCGTAAGAAAAATTTGTGCCTTGAGGACAACTAATCAATTTTAATGAAAAATAATTTTTTCTTGAAACTGATGCATTATCTCATCTGGCTCTTTGTCTAGCTTGTTGAAAAAAATATATATTTCATTGAGAGCCATTTATTAAAATCTTAGTTCCAAGATTGCCATGCGTACATTTATCGCTTGATAGCGCGAAATCGGTATAGGCTTACAAACATTGGTTCGCTTTATGTAATATATTTTTTAAAACATCATTTGTTCTGCAGTCGTTCTTTATTCATTTGTTACATATATAAAAGGAGTGTGCACATCGTACACTTGCGATAATCCGCATCAAGCTTTTGTGTTTCTAGAGCAACCGAGGCAATGCATCAGCGCTGCCATTGTTCGATGATAATAAACCGGATGATGATGGACATCTGTGATAATTTTCTACGTATTTGTGGTTTGATCAGAATTGAGATGCTAATAACGAGTTGTAGTACGCCGAATATTATATTCAAATATTTTACGCGCAATATAAAATGCGAATGGATTTGGAGTAAGATTTTATCCCTGCATCTTCTATTGTATATTCAAATAATTACATATGAAATTTTTTATTCACCTTTTACGCGTCATTATTTGCATGATTCATAAAGTATATTAATTAATCATGCAATTAATTCCATGTGAATCACAATCTCAATAATTAATTTTTCAATCAACTTTTTTAGTTATTATTTTAAGTTTTCGATATAGAATTAACTTCTAATGATCTAGAATCTAGAATGCTTACAAAATATTTTATAACTTTCTCGACAAAGCATTTGTTTCATAAACATAATGCAAAAGTAGTTGAGATAAATTTATTTAATTGATAAAAGAAATGAAAGAATTCAACATGGATTTTTTCTGGATTAGAAGTTAATTTTATATCGAAAACTTAAAGCAAAAGCTGTAAAAAAATTGATTGAAATATTTATTATTGAGATTGTTATTTACATGGAATTATTCACACAACGTCTAAAGTTATTTATGTCTAATTTATTCGTGTAAATATTTATTTCTAATGTATTTCGATAAAATACGACAATAATTTGTATTTAAACGCAGAGTATCTTAATTTATGCGAGCCGTTAGTTGCAAATTCTTTTTCTAGGTCATTAAATTGTCTTCTAATATTGTTTGTATATAATTATACGAAGCGTAACATTAACGCGCGTGCTGAACTAATTATAGATAAATGAGAAGTAGGTAACAGTGATATGTAAATTGTTTTTAAAAAACAGAACGTTCAAATGTATTCTACTAAAAAAGACTACTTAAAAAATATATTAATATATATCGTATGTATAAGTATCTGTTTAATATTCCAGTGTCGGAATTTTCAAAGAAAAATCCATCAAATTTTTCCCTAAATATCTAATATATATAATATCGCGAGGAAGATTTGCAACAATTTTTGAAATTGCAAATAGATACACGGAAAAAATTAGCTACATTTTAGCTATCCTTATATTATAGAAGAAAATAGTTATCATGCCTAAATTTTAGCCATGATGATTACCTAATATTTTTTAGCTATATATAGAATTCTTCGTTTAACTATATAACTAAAAATATTAGTCATAGCTAAAATAGTCTTAGCTAATTAGTCATAGCTCAATTTTATGATGGCTAATATTTTTTAGATATGTATAGAATTCTCCGTTTAACTATAGATATAAAAAATATTAGTCATAGCTAAAATTTAGGCATGATAACTAAATTTCAGGTTGTAATATAGGGACAGCTAAAATTTAGTTGTGGTGGTTAATTTTTCCGTGTAACAAATAGAAAATTATTTGCCGAGAACTCGAACTTACTATTCGCGCGTTGAGGTGCGAAATCGAATACGTGCACGCATATTTATTGTCGTCGCTGTTCCGTTCAATTGACAATCCGTGCGCATGTGGGACATCCAGATCGCGAGATGGATCGCGGCGCGATTTTTCGGACACAATAGGCAGAGACTCCAACGCGAGAGACCACGATGCGGTGAGTCAGCGGCGAGTCGATAACCGGCTTCAACGCGATCTCCTCTCTCTTCGCTATCTCTTTCCCCGTTGTGATTTTTTTCTCTCTCTCGTACCATAATCTGCCGGTGATTTCCCTCGCTCCGGGTCTCTTTCACGTTTCACATGTTGCTCTCTGACACTTTCCAACGAATCCGCGGACCGCTCATTACGTGCGGTTTATTTGGACGCGCAGGTGTATCTCGTCTTCTCGTGTTCTCTACCGCACCGTCCTGATTAGAGGCAGAGAAAATCAAACAGGAAGGATTTTCCTGCCCGGGATTATATGAGTGCGTAAGTATGATGTGATATGTGTCTCTTTTTTCACTTTACGTTCGTTTATCTTGTCAACTCGCGCCTATGTAATCCTCGTTATCTACTTGTCCTTCTATTTAAATCTTTTCGTCGATTTTATTTTATTCGTGTGTCAGTATATGTCAGGGTACACTAGATATTGTCGAGAAAAATTACTATCCATTCGAGAAACTTTAGAGACAGAAATAGGTCTTACGTAATGAGCATTAAATACATGCTAATTGATTTTATTATCTTGCGTAAGCTGATATTATTTCCTATTAGAAATCTTTATCCCTAATAATTTATAAATGCCTATTAATCAAAATTGAATAATATGTATCAATGCGTTTTTCAATTTATTATGGAGACAATCGAATTTTGCGTATAAAATATATCTAAAAGATATCAATAAATGTCTATGATATGGATGACTACGACACTATGTCAGATGATTTAAAAATGACTTGCGTATTTCGTTAATTTACGAAATACCTAAGTATTGTTCTTTTCTCTCTCTCTTTCTCTGAAACCGGCTTCGAATCGCCTTCAGAATATCAGCTGCATAATTTTACGATTCATCTTGGACAATGACTTTCATTGTTTTTTCTCGTCTCCTTTTCGCGTCAATAGTAATAAAAATTAAACAGTTTCTTTCTCGAAGTAACCATGCACAGATAATCAATTTTCTATTTTAATTTTTTTTTCGGAGCAACATAATAGTTTTAAATGCTGTTTTTATTTAAATGAGGGAATTGAACTGTATTCAAATTTTTGCTCGACGTCTCAATTATGTTCGTATACTCCAGTTCCCCGAAATAATCAACTCGATTGTGGACTGACAAAGTTAACGTCGACTCGGAAAGTATAAAAGATCGCAAATCGATCGCTCGCCTGTTGCAAGGTCGTGCGAAACTTTCGCGAAATAATTATTCGAACCGGTCGAAAGAGCCGCTCGCGCAACTCGCGCTCTTCTTACAAGGACGGTTCCCCATGAATCATTCTTCGGTGCAATGTACGTGCGCTCGATGTACATAGTCGGATTCGCAAGTAAAATGAAAAATGAAAGTTTTGGCGAGCGCAATCGAACCGCATTTTTTTATTTTATCGCGGTATAAATCATTATTTATTCAGCGGGAGTGGCTTTTAACAAGATAGACTACTTTACGAATCGACCATCGGACGTTAGATTGTATGCACTTCTGGCCGAATACGAGCGATTCGCAGTATTTTTTTATGTGTCAATTTTGTGTAATTTTCCGCAATTTTATATTATTTACATTATTATATAATTAAACATAAGATATTGTATCTAACAATAAGGGGAAATAAGATATTAAAATAAGATATATGTATTATATCTATATATATTATCATATAATTTGATAATTGTAAAATTGGAGTAAGATAATCTAAGGTACCAAGTGTCAATGATTTCGAGATAAATATGATTTCCTGTCTTTTTTATAAGTAGAATAAATTGCGTTTTTTATTTTATTTACATTCTTGATCCAATTTTTTAACTTGACTCGAGAAATTGAGATTAATTTCTGTCACTTTGCCAAAATATATACATATATGATTTATACATAAATTTTTATAAAATTTCTTACATCAAATCTTTATTGAATATAGAAATGTTGTATCTATCTTATTCCTATCAGTTATAATAGTAATAAATATATTTTGTATAAAATAGTCGATACTTTTCTGATAACATTCTTAATTAATCTTTAATTGTAAAAAATATTTTGTTTAAGATATCTTAAATAAATTCTATAGATGTTAACAAAAAAATTTTAACAGAAATGTTTGCGAATTATTCTTATGTTTGTTCGAAATTCTCTCACAAGAACAATATATATTACACATATAATAACTTCAAAAAATATCATATGAATCGATGTTCAAGAAATATTTTATATTTTTTATATACAATAGAATAAAAATGTGTACAATAAAAAAATATTTATTCCAATGTTTCAGACTGTTGGTGTGTACGTAACAAAAAAAAGAAAAAAAAAGAAAAATGTCCGAGTACTGTGAATATATGTGGTGTGATCCCGCACGTGGACACAATAGCGTCGCCTTGGCACGTAGCATTTACGAGGAGGGAGGCAGGTTCGATAAGCGTGACAAGAAGCTAGCCATTAAGACTGTCAGAGCCATACTTCGACAAATGCCGGATATAGGTAGGTAAAATAAAATCATACAAAGCCTAATTATATCGAAATCAGCTCATCGTATCTTGCGCACATAAGATATTACAAAGATATTATGAACGAAGGTATTTATTATGATTTAATTTTGAATTTGCATTTCAACAAGATAGACTTGAACTTTGAGTCTATATTTTTCAAAAATCTTATGTATATTACAGTGTTTTTTAATAAAGTAATGTATTACAATACGAATTCTTCAGTTCACTTTATTTAATCAAAATATATTTATATATAATATATATTTAAATAAAAAATATCTAAATAATTCTAAGTAGAAATAATATAAAATAATTATATAGAGTATGAATTAAATATTGAGAGATGAGTATAGAGAAGACTCATCTACAGCAAAGAAAAAAATTGAATAAATTACTTTAAAAAAAAATTCAAAAATAATTATCTCTCTGAATTGAAGAAACGGAGTGAAAGAGAGTCAAGTGTGAAAAATATTAATATATTCTACACGTAACTTCCGCGTAAATCCGCATTCGGGATTGTGTTTCCGGTCATGTGTTTTCGCGGATAGCATTATAATGAGGATCGGTCTCTTTCCGTTGTCTCCCTAGACTTGGGGTGTTGCACGGACGAATATATTACCCGCTTCCTACTGGCCCGGAAGTATCGTACCGAGCAGGCGGCTGCTCTGATAGTCGCTTATCAGGCGCAAATAACGCACCGCCAAGATATCTTCGGCAACCTCACTGCTCGAGATCCCGCCTTGCAACGTGCGCTTCGCGCTGGTGTACCAGGTGTTTTGCCCGCACGAGACAGGTATGGATGTGTAAATCTATACAATAAGTTCGCGGATGTTCAAGGAATAACGAGGGATAAGCTCGCGATAGCAACCGTTATATTTATTCTTATCTCCTTTCCGCTATGCAATCAACTCTTGGTACTGCAAATGCGCGATTTGCACAACTTCGTTTTCTAATAATTTGTATGATATATTTAATATATATATTATATAATAAATATATTTTAAATATATATTTTAATATAATATTATTAAATATATTATATAATTATATTTATAATATATTTGTATAATGTATTTTTTTCAACTATATACATGCTCGATTAATAATTTATTTATAATGCTGAAAATAAAGTGCGCCTGACATGAGATAAATTGAGATTTAGGACGATGATGACATAGGAGGAATACAATTTTATTTTTTTAATTATTATTTTAATGACTAGGAATAAGTTTGTTGTTTATTTGTATGATATTTAAGTTGCTCGATTATTTAATAATTTTATACGTTATTTTTTTATTTTACTATGAATTAATATAGGAAAGGCAGATGCGTGCTAATTATTTTAGCATCGCAATGGGATCCCATAGCCGTGCCCGCATTATCCGTTCAACGAGCTATCTTCTTAGTTCTGGAAATACTTATTCAGGATCCACGAAATCAGGTGCAAGTCACTTATAATTGATCACTAATAATTATTATTTCACGACTTACAAAATCAATTACATTACTAATCCCGTTTTTTATTACTTGTTAAAAATTCATAGCTTAGGAAAGATTTATGTTGTGCATTTAAAAGTTATAAAAATATACATATATTTTCTTTTTGTATTCTGTTTATAGCGTAAACATAAAAGTCACTCATACGCACACTATAAAAAATATATATGTGTGTGTGTGTGTTAATATATCTATATATCAAGTTGCAAAAGTAATTTAAAGGTCGATGATAATTTATATTCAATAAAATGTTTTGACTGTAGTTAAAACTGTGCTGATTCATATATATGTTAGATGAATTACGTCCAGTCTAGATTCAAATATTTTTTCAAGCTAAAATCATTAGAAATAGTTCCGAAATAGCTTCCGAAATAGTTGATCTAACGATGACTTGTAATTTTTTTGCTCAGCAATCTGGTTTCGTCGCTGTGGTAGACTGGGGCGGATTCTCATTACGACAGGGTAGCGCATTGGGCGCAGCGGCTTTACGAAACCTAATAGCTGCTCTACGTGGGCGATTTCCTGCCCGATTCAAAGCGATACACTTCCTTTCGGCGCCCCTGTACGTCCAAGCGACTCTCGCTCTGGTGAAGCCATTTCTGGATGAGAAGACGCGGAATAAGGTGAGGCTTGTGTAGGCAACGTTACGGCATTAAGACACGAATAAATTTCCAAGATAATCGTATTTCAATGTACGAAATAATTACAATTGTAGCAAAATTTTATTTAATTATAAATTAAATTAAATTATTAATATTTTATTTAATTTTCTTTAATTTTATATATATTTCTTATTTAATTTTAAATTTACTTTTTTTTAATGGGATCTATCGAAAAAAATGTATCACAATTACCTACAGCATTGAATTTTGATTATTCACGAGTCTCATCTCTAGGAGAGATCATATACATATATTCTAAGAAGTATTCATCTTATAATATTATATTATAATATTCATCTTATAATAAAAATTAATCTTCATTGCTTATGACTTCATAAATATGAATCAGCATAGTTTCAACTATATAGTTTCAAAACATTTTGTCGAATATAAAAATTACCGTCGAGCTTTGCAACTTGATACACATATAGACACATATATAGGAGAGATCATATTTAGAAAATATATATTCATCTCATAATAAAAACTAATCTTTATTGCTTATGACTCAGGATAACGCGCGCGTAGCGTAATCTAGACGAAAATAGACGTCATAAAAAATAAAAATCATCGATGCGCGGATGTGCAAAGATGCTATATAAATTAATTATCATTGCTCGGATAATGCGTCAGATAACTGTCAAGCGCGAGAAGCCGTTAAACGTTCATCTATTTTCTTTCCTCGCAGATCTATCTGCACGGCAACAATCTCAGCACGCTCCACGAGCATCTGCCAACGGACATCTTGCCGGCAGAGCTCGGTGGAACGGGACCAGCCTTCAACCCGGGATTATGGGCCGAGCCGGTCATCCACTCGGCGATGAAAGAGGCCGAGCTCGCCGCCGCGGCCGCCAAAAAGGGAAAAGAGCAGCTCGCCGAGCAGAGTACGTGCGTGCAAAAACCGACCACCGGATCGAAAACCGCAAACGGAAACCCTCGGGGGAGCGACGACTCGACCGTATTGACGAACGCGGATAAAACGTTCCTGAACAATTCCGCGAAGCATAAGCTATCTCCCGTGAATAAGACACAAATGGATGTGGAATTGAACGTGATAAATAAGCGATCGGATGAACAGAGAGAAACGACGAAGCTTGCGATGAAAAACGACGAGGGTAATGATGAGGAACGATCGGGACTTGAACGAGACACTAACGAAAACGAGAGACATAATTTTGATAGAACGAATCGGTTTAGGGATGACCTGGTGTTTCTCGACGCGGATATTAATTTGAACGAATTCGAAATGATTCCTAGTAGACCAGACAGCGAGGATAATTCATTAGATAACAGATTAGAAGGGAAGGCCCTCATCATCGCTAGCAACAGCGAAGTACCGTCCGAAGAAACGAATCTCATAACGTAACGCTGATCTCCAGTTTATCCAAGGTATTGCTTACTGATAGGATCTTTTCCTTTTTTGCTAATAGGAGAGAGCTCAGTTCTTTCCGATTTTGCTGAGACTTTACAGTATTGTATATTTTTGTAAAAACACGAATTTGTAAATTAAAATTATCATTCTTAAGTAGAAAAAAAAATTACAGTGGAACCCTCTTCGTAGGGAGAGGAAGGAAGGAGAGATTCGTATTTCACGCACAAAAATATACAAAATTGTAAAGTTTCTGCAAAATCGAGAGGATTTTCAAAATTATTACCTAAAATTTAAGTAAAAATTGACGAGACTCACCGATACGATATGCGCAGCAGCGGAGTTGTAAACTGTAAAATAAAAATACATGGAAATTATAAATAGTGAAATTTAAAATAATTAAATATTATTTTATTAATTAAATAAAATATAATTTAATTAATAACTAAATTATTATTTACATTGAATTATTTAATAGTAAAAAAACAGTAAGAATAAATGAATTATATATTTACTATATAGTTGCTCCGCCGTTGCATGATGCCATCCTGGGTATCTCTCGTAGAAGATGCTTCAGAAACACACTTGCACTCGCGTTACATTTTTTCGTTCGCGGCGCGCGGCGACGCTCGACTTTTATAATTATCACATTTTTGACGCGTTTCGGTAAAACGCGAGAATCGCGCGCGAATAAAACCAATGCTGAATGCTCCGTTTTCGCATCGCCGCTTTTTTCAAGGCCACTTATCGGAGAGCCTCATCGAATGACGATAGCGACTTCCTCGTGACGCACTCGGAAATCGCAGATATTCCCGCAGATATTAGTCACTACTCACTTCGTTCTATACATTTTTTTTCACTTCCGAAAATCCGGCACTTCGCGACACAAAAGGATATATATCGTTTTCCGAACACCATATATGTATACACTCGCGATCTTCGCGTATTTCGATGATACACGATTAATCTAATTCTCGCACTTTGCTAAATGTTTCCGATTCCGATTTACGAGAAAATTTCAGCGAACAGCGTACGATATATTTTTATGGTTTTTAGTATTTTTCACCGGTTGGTGACAGAACGCCTTCAACCTCGTATTTAGGTTATATGACGTTCAATTGCTATTTACGATATATTTTTATATATAATATATAACATCAATATGGCGGCGCGACCGTAATCGATCTACGATTGTCAACAGTATCAGGTTTAACAAAACGCCGAGTTGTTGTGGTGAAGGTACGATAGATGTCGCGGCATACGCGGAGAGCGAGAGTTCAACGACCGACAACCCGCACGCTGCATCTCTACCGCGAGACTGATCCCACGACGATCCGCACGCTACGCGTCTCGCGGGACTGACCCCAACAGCCAATCGCGAGACTCCGTACGTATGGAGTCTCATGATTGGTGCGCCGTAGGGTTCGCCTGTCCGTATATAAGAGCTGCGTTGACCGACAGACTCGCACAGATGCTTTTTGATGCTCTACTGCGCTGGTCAGCGGACGATGCTCCTCGATGAATAAACTTTGTCTAGCTAACCCTAACTTGAAGAAACCGACTCTACTAGATCGAAGAAGAATACTAGACCGAATAATAAGAAGAGAAGAAAAGATTTTTAAAAATATATAGATTTTATACTTAAATTATACATATAGCATAGCTATTATATATTATTTCAAAATATTCATACATTAATTTCAATTTTTGAGTTCTTATTTCATTATTTATTCATATATAAAATTCTATATATATTATATAAATATCTTGCTACCTAAAAATATATAGATTTTATATATTTAAATTATACGTATAGTTATTATATTATTTAAAAATGTACACACATGAAGTTTTGAGTTTCTTATAATTATTTACTCGTATATAATCATATATTGTTTCTCACACACAATACTATATGTGATAAGAAATATGTCGTTATATTTTATAGATGATTGAATTCTACTATTTAAAATATGATATATATCTTATCACATAGTATTGTATGTGAGAAACAATGTATATAAATATAATTAGATACTATATAATCATCGAGAAGCGTCGTCCGCCGATCACCGAACTCAAAAATTGAAATTAATGTATGAATATTTTGAAATAATATAATAGCTATGCTATATGTATAATTAAAGCATAAAATCTATATATTTTTAAAAATCTTTTCTTCTTTTCTTATTATTCGGTCTAGTATTCTTCTTCGATCTAGTAGAGTCTGTTTCTTTAAGTTAGGGTTAGCTAGACAAAGTTTATTCATCGAGGAGCATCGTCCGCTGACCAGCGCAGTAGAGCATCAAAAAGCATCTGTCCGATCTGTCGTTCAACGCAGCTCTTATATACGGGCAGGCGAACCCTACGGTGCACCAATCACGAGACTCCATACGTACCGAGTCTCGCGATTGGCTATTGGGGTCAGCTCGCGCGAGACGCGTAGCGTGTGGATCGTCGTAGTGTTGTTAGACGGGCTAGGTTTTTTCGCGCATGCGCGTATTACCGTGACGTAACCATGACGACTACAGTAACGTATGATGTTTGCGCGCGCAACTACGGACCAAAACCCTGGACCACGGAGTTTTGGCGGAATCGCAGGAAACAGATAAATTGAACGTACGTAAAAATAAATAAATTATTACAATATATGTAATATAAAAGTGTATTATTATAATTTATGTATATTAAAATTAATCAATAATTCAAATTATAAATTGTATAAATAAAAACTAAACTCGTAATTTACGTATGTTATAACATAGGTACACGTATATGTATATATTTTATAATTTCATTATTTGTTTATTGTATGTTTATATTTAACATTTTTAATTAAATTTATTATATTTATAATAAAAATTATACGATTCATTAATTATTTTAAAAATTTTCAATAATTTAAGAAAAATTAAACAGAGGGGGAAATCAGGACCCCATTTCATGCGAGTGACTACTTCATTAATACTACATTCAATGCGCATGCGCGAAAAAACCTAGCCCGTCTAACAACACTGCGTGGGATCAGTCTCGCGGTAGAGCTGCAACGTGTGGGTTGTCGGTTGTTGAACTCTCGCTCTCCGCGTACGCCGCGACATCTATCGTACTCTCACCACACAACTCGGCGTTTTGTTCAACCTAATACTGTTGACGACCATTTTGAAATATTTCTGCTCCTGCACTAATAAACTAGTGCACACTGGTGCAATAAGTTAGAGTGAGACAAAATATACTTATCTCATCCTAACTTATTGCACCAGTGTGTAGTTCATTAATGCAGGAACAGAATACAAACCTGTTAATTGCCTCGCGCGTTTCCGGTCGTACTTTTGCACCATCGTGTCAAAGTATCGTTACGCGACAAATTCGATTACGGCTACGATTACGATCGCGCCGCTATATTGATGTTGTACATATATCAAAATATATCGTACGCTGCTCGCTGAAATTTTCTCGTAAAGCGGAATCGTAAATATTTAGCAAATAAATACGAGAAGTATATTAATTGTGTATTATCGAATACGCCAAGATCGCGAGTATATATATATGGTGTTCGAAAAATGATATATTCTTTTGTGTCGCGAAGTGCCGGATTTTCGGAAGTGAAAAAAATATATATATATAGAGTGAAATGAGTAGTGACCAATTCTGGAATATCTACGACTTCCGAGTGCGTCGCGGGAAGTTGCCGTCATCGTTCGATGAGACCCTCCGATAAGTCTTGAAAAAGTGGCGACGCGAAATCGGAGCATCGGTTTTATTCGCGCGTGAATAAAAGCTCTCGCGATTCTTGCGTTTTACCGAAACGCGTCGAAAATGTGATAATTATAACAGTCGGGCGTCGCCACACGTTGCGAACAAAAACAGGAACGCGAGTGCAAGTATTTCTGAACATCTACGAGACCCGGGATGGCATCAGGCAACTACGTGGTAAATATATAATTCATTTATTATTTATTGTTACTATTTTTTACTATTAAATATAATTTAATGTAAATAATAATTTATTATTTAAATTATATATTTTATTTAGTTAATAAGATATTCTATTTTTCGAAATATTAATTATTTTAAATTGCACTATATAATTTCCATGTATTTTTATTTTGCAGTTTACAACTCCACTGCTACGCGTATCGAACCGGTGAGTCTTGTCAATTTTTACTTAATAATTTTGTGAAAATCCTCTCGATTTTACAGAAACTTTACAATTTTGTGTATTTTTATGAATGAAATACAAATCTCTCCCTCCTCTCACGAAGGAGGCAAAACTCACTGTAACTTTTTTTCTATTTAAGAATGACAATTTTAATTTATTGATTCGTGTTTTACGCACAAAAATATACAGTACTGTAAAATTTCAAAATCGGAGAGGATAGAGCTTTTCCTTCAATATTACACCTTTTTTTATAATAAACGATATGTATCTGTAGATAACAGTCTCGAATAATTTCGAGGTAGCGTAATTTTATCGGTATAATAGCAGCGGATTTCCTTATGGACTATTTTTAGAATGTACTTTGGTGCGGTGCTTTTCTTGTTCCATTTTGCTGAAACATAAATCCATGTATAAAATTTTTAGACTGATACTGATGTATTGTTAAGAATATTAATTAAGAGCGACATGAAGTCCTCCAATATTTTCATACATTCTTGAAACTTATTTTATATTTAAAAAGATTAAATTATTTTTAATTAGACATTTTTTAATTAGAGTGCAGAATAAAATATAGAAAAAGAATAATGTATATTTTCAGTCTCCAACTATGATTTTTTTTCGTTAAATATATTTATTTATTATATATTATTGTGTAAAAACTGTGAAATCTGTTTTAATTTTTATATCAGAAAGATTATATAACATGGAAATAATAGCTATATATATTTTTTTCAATTATTTATAATTATTATATATATCTTATATATTTTGAAGTATAAGAATAAGAATATACAGGGTTTGTCCGGAAAGTAATGCGTCGCATTTTTTTGTGACGCGACTATACATCGCAGAGCGATGGGACCGGTTGGGGAGGAAGGGGGGTACCCTTAGCTTTCCAACGGTAGGTCGCTCAATTGTTTCCATGCGCTTGGAGGGTTAGGACGGCTTATTCTGTGAACCTCTGCTTAGTGGTCGCGTCGAACTTGTGATGGAGAGAACGATAGAGCAACGCTATGCGATAAAGTTTTGCGTGAAGCTGGACAAGACGCCGCTGGAAACTTTTGAAATGCTCAAGAAAGTTTTCGGGGACGATTGCCTTTCCAAATCGCAGTCAAACAGATGGCACAAGATGTTTAGAGAAGGTCGGAAGGAGGTCGCCGACGAGGCCCGCGCAGGACGCCCGTCAACATCGCGAACGGACGACAATGTGACTCGTGTGCGCCAATTATTGAATTCAGACCGTCGAATGAATGTTCGCTTAATGTCGGAATTATTGAACTTGCCGAAAACGATTGTTCACGAGATTGTATGGGAAGACTTGGCCATGCGGAAGATTTGCGCAAAACTTGTGCCCAGAGTGCCCGCGCCGGCTCACACCGCCTTTGTTATTACGGCCTACCTGACCCGGATCGGTGTGGCAACGGTGCCGCAGCCGCCCTACAGTCCCGACTTGGCCCCGGCGGACTTTTTTTTATTTCCTCGGCTGAAAAGGGAGCTCAAAGGACAACAGCTCGAGTCGGTTGACAACGTACAAGCTACTTCGACGGCCTCCCTGAACAGCATCCCAGTCAAGGAGTTCCAGAAATCTTATGACGCATGGAAATCGCGTTGGCAAAAATGTATTGACGCAGAAGGGTCATACTTCGAACAATTTTAAGTTGTTTTACCTATGCGATCAATAAATTCTTTTTTAAAAAAATGCGACGCATTACTTTCCGGACAAACCCTGTATTTCGGAAATCGAGTGATTGATCACTTTTTGAACTTGGTTGAGATTTTGAAGAATGAATAAGAAAATTGAATGTGAATTTTTAAATCACATACATGTCATACATATTTACAAAACGGAATTTCGTAGTCTTGTTGAAATCGTGTTTTAGCAACAAAATAATCTTTGATACAATATTATCTATTTTTTAAAAATATTTTAAATAGATAGACACTTTAGATAGTATATTTATGAATTAAAATGCAATTTTTTTAACTTAGAAAGCTGGAATTATTTTAAAGAAACTCATTGCACTTTGTTCTTCCAATGACTGTGTATTTCATTAATAAATTTTTTCATGTTTGCATTTTATATGTGTGTGTGTGTGTGTGTTGCACATATATGTGTTTAGTGTGATATAAAATATTTATTGAAATTAGTAAATCAAACACATTCAAAGAATGTTTTACAATTTGATGTGCATTGCATTTAACAAGCATATTATAAATTTTAAATGTGATACAATTAGATGAGTACTTAATTAAAATTATATTTTAAACACGCGACAATTTACATATATTTCTTATACTATATTGACAAATTACAAAAGTATTTAATTGAAATTTCAAAAATATCTAGATATATTTTTTGTGGAAATATTTATATTATATTATATTAATAAAATAATGTTTATATGTTGATCGACATATGGCAGAGTAATGCTGGAAGAAGGAATATAAAATGGATATGAAAAAGAAAATAATTGTGAAATGAAATAAATATATATACATAATAAAAATTTATTTCTTGGTAGATAAAATATATATGTATAAATTCTCAACATCAATACATATGTTTGAAATAACATTGAACGTCTTATCACATAATACCAAAAGCACCCTGCTACCATCTGAGTTCACATATATATCACGTATGAAAATAGAAAATTCTATATAGAAATCTATGAGGTATATATAAATGTACTGCAATTTGACATATATAATTGTGAATATCATATTATATACAACTATTTTGTTATATGTTCCGGTTTAAGAGAGGTTTCAATTTTTTCCCTTTTTTTCATATAAGAGTGCACATACACGCAATGACATTCTAATTTTATATCAGATTAAATACTGTCTCAATATCAGTGCAATCAGTACATTGGCTATATCAACATTGATCGTAACATTAATTATCATCATATCTCATCAATTATCATTATATTATCTCGAGGAATCTTAATCAAAAATTGGTCACAATATTGAGAAAGAATACATTCTCATATTGATACATATTATCATACAAATATTTTCTTGGAATTTTATAAATGCAATAATAATAATGTATCATGTACTCTGTATCATGAAATTTACAGAATATCAAATAATTAACAAATTATATATTTCATATTAAATGCATGGTATATATGTATATATAATAACCACCATATAATAATTTTATATATAAATTTGTACTTTAAATCTCGATAATTCGCGTACACATGAAAATTTTCGATATAAATGGTATAATACTTCGCCAAAGAAAGATGGCAGGGTTCGGTAAGATGAGGCGTTATGTGTATATGCATTCATTCATTCATTGAATTATTGTCTATGATTGTACTGACGTTAAGCTACTATTGCCGGAGGTACCCAACCTCCGAAACCTCGTTCCAATTCTTCTGCAACAGCTAGCGTCAGACGATCTTGATGTAAACCCGCTACGACCTATAGGATTTAAAAAATAGGTTATTTTAAGTACGAAATCTTTATACTTTTTCTAAGTAAAAATATCATATCAACACAACACGCACTTGTATTCCAATGGGAAGCCCTTGTTTATTTAAGCCTAACGGACAAGCTGTAGCTGGTAGGCCTAATACATTAATTATTGCGGTGTAAGAGAAATTGAACGGTTTGAACAACGGTTCATAATGCATTGGGGCTGCAGTCGGATGTGTTGGATACAAGAACACACCATCCTCTCCCAAAATATCCTGAAAATCACAAAGTGTTATAAAAAAATATTGCAAATAACATAGTAGCATTCAAAAATTTATCTTGATATTGCACGAAGAGAATTTTCTCTTAGAATTTATCGTGAAAATCATGGTAACTGTGGGACAATATGGAAGAATTTTATAAGAATTTCTCTAATTAATATTTACGACAATAAGAAATATTAATGTGTACATAGTAAATTTTACTATATACATAGTAAAATTAATCAATTATATTTTATATATATCTTATGGTGATAAATATTAATATTTTTATTGTGGTAAATATTAATTTATTGTCCCACGATTACCATAATTTTTAGCATAAATTCTAAGAGAAAATTTTCTCTGTATATATATAAATTTCTCTTCAAGGTCATTCTGAATTCGTACCTTAAATTCTTGACGAAGATCTTTACTTTGTTGCATAAGTCGAACGTGTTTTTCACTTCCATGTTTTATGCCGAATTTTTCGAATGCGGCAGTAATAAGAGCAACCAAAGTGTGATCGCTCATGAATAACATCCACTTGACAAATTCCCAGCAAATATTAATCTGACCTTTCCTATTGGTTAACTCGTATGAAAAATCCTTCTCATCCTTCGCTGCCATGTTTGCCAACCAGAGAGCTATACTCTTTTTCAATTTCTTTACGTTCAATTTCGTAGCCTTAATCTTGTAGGCCTTCTCGAAATAGTTCAATATTTTTCTCATTGCGTCCTTTATTTCCGGATCCACGGGAGAAACTAGATATTGACCGCCGTCGTCCTCCATATAATAGATCTAAATTCGTAGAAACATCGTTTCATGCTTATTACACGATAAATTTATTAACCTTGCTTTCCTGCTGCAAAAGCATGCATGTATAAAGTAACATTAGGTCAAAGAGAAGTTAACTGTCTTTTATGAAATGTTAAGTCAATTTGCCTTAATTCGTGAGATGTCCACTTTTTCATCTAGCTTCAATAGGTCGGCATTCTTGTCCGCAAGAATCTTAAGAGTTAATGCAATATCTTGCGCGTATCTACACATGGGTCCAATAGCGAGCAATTGATCTTGATCATCACTGTGTGCACTTGGGTATTGACCATCGTTCGAGACTATTCCTGTAAAAATATAGTATATGGTATATGATAAAAATATGGCATTTTCGCAAGACGTCGATAATTATAAGAAACATGCGCATTAGTCAAGTTCTCAATCTTCCTCACCCTTAGATGGCTTATGGCCAAAAATTCCATTGAAGAATGCCGGCATGCGAATAGAACCGCCAATATCTGAGCCAATTCCAAGCGGTGATCCAGCTGCCGCTTGTAAGCAGCCTTCGCCACCCGAAGAACCGCCTACAATGTGTCTGAAAGTGAATTACATGAAATAAAAAATTGTAAGAGAATAAAAAAATATCTTGCCGCACGATTTCTGTCGCACATTCAAATTCAAATTAGATATTTGAAAAAATTAAATTTGCCTATTTATATTAATATTCATATTTTGAATTAAAATTCATATTAAATTAAAATTATATAATAATTATGTTGTATATTTATATCATCAATCGTTACAATGGCTACTTGGCTATTCTATATTTGACAAACTTGATTTTATTTGAATATATTTTTTCAATAATTAAAATCTCGAAATAATTATACCTTCAATGAATATTATAATATGCTATTATATATATATACCTCGTATTATAGGGATTCTTAGTAGTACCAAACAAACAGTTACTGCTTTCCCACCACATCGCTAATTCTGAAACATTTGTCAATACCAGAGGTATAGCTCCAGCTGACCTCATTAATTTTATCGTTTCTGCATCTCTATCAGCGGCAGTGTTCTTTCGTATAACTAGGCCAGCTGTTTGTTGCATATTCGCCACTCCGATGCAGTCCTGCAATATAATAATTGAAAGAGGTATTTTCTTTTCTCTCTTCGATTATTATTGCGTCATTTCATGATATTAACGGATGATGAGCAAAAATCTAATCGTTGTCGTTAATATATTATATCCATTAGCTAATGAAATTGAAAACAAATAAGAATAAAAAGATATATGTATATATCTTACCTTGGTAGTAAAAGGTACACCAAACAATGGTTTTTCTTTGGCCAACAAATCCGCGGATGGAGCGTTTTGAGATTTCAACAATTCATCGCATTTTGTCGCTTCTTCAAGAGCTTTCTCAAAACGGTCCGCGACTACACAGTTGAGTATTGGTTGAATCTCTTTTATTCTTTCTATGTAGGAAGATACTACTTCCTCCGAAGTTAACTGTAAATAATAAAGCAGTTATGTGGTCAATTTGACTGACAAGTGAATGTGTTATACAAGTAAATGATAAATTTTCTTTATCCCGGACATTTTTATATCATGATAAAGAAAGAGAGAGAAAGAGGAGAAGCAGATCTTTAATCTTTTTCATATATACAAAACAATTAATGAAACAAGAAAGATAGAAAATATCTCTATTAAAATTGTTATATATAATTTATTATATTTTTATTTAAAATAGACATTATATAATGTCATCACACAATGTAGAAATAAAACGTCACTTTGTCATACGACGATTCGAAATGAGAGATAGATTACAAAATGATTACGATGACCATGAATAGCTTGGAATTTATCAATAAATTATCGAAAATTATCAAACATTCACGAGATTCAGCAAAGAGTTTGAGAGTAAACAGACTTACTTGTCTGTTTCGAATTTTTAACGCTAAAGTGGTTGCGCTGTGCAGGAGAGTTAAATCTTTGATAGGTGGTTGAGATTCTGCCGGTCCGCTGATGTAAGCAACTAACAGGAATATTCCTCTCACGATCACTTCCACAAGGCGATGGAACACGTTGAGGATTTGTCTGGCTTGCATCTTGTCACGCGTTTGCTCTTCAATTATTCACCTGTTGCGAACAAAGTTTATAATCCACGTTTCTCATTCATTAGCCTAATGCATTCATATTGCGCATGTACTTTTGCCAAGCATTTCTAAGATTATATATGTCCATATACGAAGATACTTTTTTCCTATGTAATAAATGCAATTTAGTTCAAGTACAGCTAGCTTTTAATTAAAATGCAGTTTAACTGCATTTTTTTAAAGCAATTTAACTGTACCTGCTCTTTAAAAATATTTTAAATGCATTTTAAAAGAGCAATTATTAAAATGCATTTAAAGACTTGAAAAAGCAATTTTGAAATGTATTTTAAGAATTATTTTTTCGTTAAATATTTATTTTCACAAATATAATAGTAAAATTAATTTACATTACAAATTATATTTTAGAAAAAATTCATTATTATATTTTTGGATTCGATATTATCTCATAGTATGCAAGTATATAAGATAGCTTATCGCGGTATAATTGTATATAATTTTCATACTTGTTTTATTTTGTATATATATGTACATATACTATATCACATTCGTATAAATTAATAATATTTTTAATGTTTTCGGATTGTTTACATTATCAAACACGATGTTTTCTCTTAATGAATTTATTATTAAATAAACATGTCATAATTATAAGATAAATTGCAATACAAAGAATATCAAGATAAAAAGATTAAAATTTTTTACTGTTTCGAATTTAATCATAAATTTAACAGAAAAGAAAAAGAATTTAAAGTGACAATTATAAAAAATTATGGAAAAATATATAATGTTATTATAATATTTTATCATATATAAGGTTTAAAAATTTTAATTAATTTTTTCTAGTTCTTCATTCTATATATAGAACATATTATGTTAAAAAAATAAATGATATTCTTTAAAACCTTCGAAAAAAAATTGTTGCTGCAAAAAAATAAGTTTTCTTTCAAAGTTGATCGATTTAGTAGAACTTCGCTAAATAGGTCTGCAATTCCATAATAAAGAGCGATACAATGTTTGATAAATTGCATGATATGTCATGCGCGATTGCGTCTTCTTGTCACACTTTATAACGATGATTTAACCGACACGTTGGCGATAAATAAACGTCGGTATATATAATAGGTAAGTGACGAAACGCAAATCTCACATAATCAATGTAAGAAAAATCGCATTAATATTCTTGGCCAGTCCGATCCTAGATAGAAAGAAAGAGAATGAGAATTCTACATGATACACGCTTACGCACTTATCGCAGTGAACAACCATTAATGATGTAATCGTGAAATTACGTATCAAGGTTAGCAGAACAATACGCGTGAGTTTAAACAGCTTTACAAATAACAGAATTAGCAGGACGATCATATGTACTTTTGCTTCTATAGTTAAATTCTTCCTACATAATACATCCGCACAATCGTTAGGATTTTATTTACATAACGCTGTTGCACTTAACGTTAAAAGGTAAAAACTTCGAAGTGTGCTTACTTTAAAAGTGCAAATTTTCATGTATCATTTCAATAGCAATTATATGATACTTAAAGATTAAAAATTTGACAAACAGTCTCATAATTTTGCATGGCATATCAGTGCAAAATTATATGATTATATCTCTTAATTATAATATAATCCTTTTAGGAGATCCAACTATGAATTAATTACTTTTAATATTGTATTAAATTTTATTCTTTATTCATATCACAAGTATATATACATACATATATATATATATATATATATATATATATATATATATATTATTTTTCCATAATTTTTTATAATATAGTATACAAATATATATAATATAATATATATAAAATAAATATAATATAATATATATATATAAGTTAGTTTGGAATATATTTAATGTTACATAAATATAAAATATCCAAATATTTATTATTAATATGATCAAAATATCTTTAATATAATATAAATCTATTTTTCACGTTTCGAGACAAATTTAAAATGCAAATTAGATTTATTTTCCTCGTGCGTAGTTTTTTTTCGACAACCGCACCTAACAATAAATTACGTTTGTAAATTATATGTTACACGTGTAACTGGTCGAACGTACTTTAAATGAAGCTGACAACGAACAATACTCGCGACACGAAATGCTTCTCGTCAGTGCAAGGTTATTTTGTGCAATCATTCGAGATAGACGATTAAAGTATTACCACGTACACGAATGAAAATAATACGATTGAAATGCAGTGGTGTAGGACAGACATGAACAGAATTTAATATAGTATCTTGTTAAAGGTACATATGATTTCAAACGTCGAAATTTCTGTATTATAGTATATTATATTGCAATCGATAGAATTTAGTGTTCTGGGAAAATGTTAATTGAATCAGTCATTAATAATATAAACTTTGTTCTTCGCTGCGTGATCCATACTATATCTAAAGATAATTATTTTCTTTATATTTTGAAAACTGACAGGTCTATTTATGGCAAATTTGTTTGTGAACGGTGAGCACTTTGTGAAACTATGAATTATTAATACTTTTTTTACATCATAATATAAAAATAGACTCATGCATAACGAACGAGAGATGTATGTAAACAAACAAAAGTCTTTTCTCATGAAAGAGCATCTCTTTATTATTGCAATTATGTAATCGACATGTGCATTAAAGTTTATATCCGATTAATAACTCTTCTCTTCCGCTTACATGACACGATGAATACGCAAAGAGGGGACGGTGAATCGATAATTAGCCGGAATTAATTAGTATCAAGGTTACCGAAATCAAGAGAGAGGATCGAGAAGGTTAACATTATCGTAAAAAAAAAAATTAAAATATGCAAAAAGTTGATGTTGCGTTTCTTTGTGTGCGCGCAAAGAAACGCTTCGCTGCATGTATTTTTTCGCGATATATATTAATGTGCCAACGATAATACATTTTTTCTTTCTTCTAATCGATTCTCGGAAATAAACATGTTACGCGTCTCGGTGGTCGATCTAATCGATCGCAGGAATTTCGCCGAATGGAAACTCATAGCCATATGTCAGTCGTTAACATTTACCTAATTTAGAACCCGTTCTCTCTCTTTCTGTCTCCCTGTCTCTATTTTTCTTTCTTTCTCGCAACTGTCACGGAACTGTCAAAAAATCAGTGAATATAAAATTTACCTGTTTTTCAGAAATAGCACCGAAAAAACTTTAAAGAATGCGACTGATTGAGAGGTTCCATGAATCGGAAGCCGTTTCCACCGATGATGTTGTTATTTATAATTCGGGACTGTTCACGTGATACACTGGCGGTTCTCACCGTCTCCTCCTAGTCCGAGATGTCAACGTCAAGATAAAGTCGTTCACCGATCTCCGCAAGAGTCTCGCGATCTCTCCGATGTAACGTCGCGAAAATCAAGTTACCTGACCTACACCTTGCCACAGGACGCTTCGGCGTGCCGCGTCAGCGAAAGAGAAAGGAAAAGCAAATGGTAAGAGAGGGAAGGAGCGAGGTACAGAGATTTATTCACCGTAGATCCGACCGGGCGAATAAGAGAGAGAGAGAAAGAGAGAGAACTCACCGAGGTGGCGAACGGTTCGAACCAGGTGTCATCGACGGCGCGATGTTTACACGATCCCGTTGTAATTCCGCTCTATATCCACCTTCTTCAGGCCGTATCGTTCATCAACGAGAGAGAAAGAAAGAGACGCGGTCGTTGATATTTTTTTTTCTCGACCACCAGACCTCGACTGCCGCCGCGATCGCGGCTAGCTCGCTTTTCTTCCAAGGAGCGACGAGCGCACTGACATCGACGAGAAGAGCCACCCACCCACCGTGGTTCGCTGTATATATGCGCGCACGTAGATGGATGTGCCGCCAGCCGCCAGTGTAATACGCCGCGCGATTTTACTCCCCGATATCTCGGCTCCGTTCCGAGCTGCTCCGAACTGTCACGAGTCGAGCGGCTGCGCGCGACGCGACTTCGTGAATATAAGAGCGGACGTGAATCGCAGGAACGGATGCCTCGGGCTCGCTGTCTCCTTCCTTATGCATGCGCATATTTATGTATGCACGTACAAGATGTCATGGACATCTGTTATGTTATGATACGATTTCAATCTCAGTAACAAATTTTCGATCTGAAGGAATTTTCCACTGAAGAAATATTGAAAGATTATAGATTATGTTTATATATTATTTATAGAAATATTTATATTTATATGCTGACAAGAAATAATTAAATATATATTAGAATTAGATATGGATATATAAATTAATATGTATTATGTATTATAAAATATCTTTTATTTATTTATATATCTTTAGAGTTCCTTTAGCTGCCTATAGTTGATCATATTTATTCTTCGAAATAAACTTTCGCGTTCTACATATCTTTATAAAAATAATTGCGCAATATGTTTTTTCCAATAATTAGTAGTGTGTATAGTAATTATACAATTAATTAATTGTACAGTAATTAATTTTGTGTCGATTTTTTCTTATTTTTTTTTATAATAATAAATCAAATAATAAATTTTATAATAATAGTATACAAAAAATAAAATAAAAAATATGCGAAAAATAAATTTTACAATAATAAATATGCGGGCAAATAAATTCTGCAAAACAAACTGAAAAGCCTTGGTCTTACGGCCCTGGCGTGAGATAACTCCACCAGCTGGCGGGACGGAGCACATCCGAGTCGACCCTTAACCTAACTCCTGTCTCTCCGAAACGTGGTTGCGGTCGTCGCGATATACGCGACAGCGATTTCCGAGGTCGTTTAAACCCTTCCGACGAAGCGCACGCGTGTATTCGTACGAGTGCAAACTATCGCGATATTCGGCACGTGCTCTCGCTCGTTTTATCGTCCCCCATCACGCCACGGTTGACATACATAAATATTGTCCGGCAGCTGAGCAAAATAACCTAGTAATCTGCGACAATTAGTTTGCATGTCGTATGCGAGTATGTCGAAAGAGGGTTGAAATATGAGAAGTTTGGTAAGTTCATGACAGATCCCTGAGATATGACTTGTTCGCGATTTCAATGGAAATAATGACGTAAAATTGGCGCAAAAAACAGTACTTTGCACACTTACAAACACATGAAGAGTGTTTTGTCTCGCGATATTTGAACTACGTATAATATTTATTTTCTATATATATATGTGTGTGTGTGTGTGTGTGTGTGTGTGTGTGTGTGTGTGTGTGTGTGTGTGTGTGTGTGTGTGTGTGTGAGTAAATATACTTTCTGCGATACACACAGCCGAGACCGAATATCGATTTCTGACATTTATCACGTACACATACTAATTGATAGATAAGGTTGTATAATCTAGCAATTGCATATTTTTTTATCTTATCTTATCTCAATGAGAATGCATATTACAAAACATACTCATATTACGACGAAACTATTTTGCGTATATGTGTGTATGTGTGTGTACACGTTTTATTAATTAAATAATAACTTTATTTCGCGATCATTTGTGTGCGTCTAGAAACTTTACTTACACAATTATTAGATCTATTTTGAAAACTAAAGTTTTAGCATAGACAACACTTACTTGATTGCTTATGAAAAAATAAGTAGGTAGCGCCTCTAATGCTGATGTAAACTTTAGATGCATGTTTATGAATCACCTATTGAGAAGTCTATAAATGTAACAATAGAGAACTGAATCAATATATATTATATCCACATAACAATGTGAGTATAATATTCTCTTTTATCGTTATTTTACAGATTACAGATTTGTTAATTAATTTTAATAATTTATAAATAATTAGTTAATTTTTTTATTAAAATTTAATTTTATATTTTGCAATATAAATAAGATATAAAATATGCTCTTCTATCTCCGATAATATTTCGTTTAAGCCCCAAAATATTTGAAAGATAGCATGTAAGTAAGACTACATACATCCATTGATGTGTACCAGACCGAATGTCTCATTGCAACCAATTACCTCGTAATCACTTGACAAAGAGTAGAATAATAATAAAATTACGCAAGTGTTTAACACTTGCGTAATTTTATTATTATTCTACTCTTTTGTCAGCAAGAATGTCATCAAGATGTTTCGCAAGTCGTGGACGAAAACGAGAGTCAAAGCTAATTTTACATGCTAAAGCATTTCTCTCGAACCTGATTCACTTTCTTTAATCCTGAATACTTCCTTTACGAAGTATATTTTTTTCTTCTATCTTTTTGATAGAAGAAAATTAAATGTTTCACTTTTAATTTAACATTTTTCAGATTTCTTACATTGTTTCTTATTTTACCTTAAATAAAATTACGCAGTTAAGGCTCTACCTTAGTTTACATATATAATATTTCATTTAATTTTTATCATCCAATTTTTCAAATTCTCTCCATTTTTCTCTCATTCAACTCTTATTGAATTTTTTTATCATTGAAAGTAATTTTAATTTTAAGTTCTTTAAAAACATGCAATAAATGCAAATAAACAAAGATAAAAAAATATTCTTTAAGAAATATTATTTATTAAATTTTTTTATATAGAGATTTATATTTGATTTTTAAGATTTTCATTTTTAATTACTCATCCACTGTGTATCTTAAGATTTTAATACAGATAAAGGGAGGCAAAATGTCGTTATAGTTTTATTAAATGCCAGAATCCTTTGGAATTTTTTCTTCTCCTGTCAATTAAAGCTGTAATCGTGCACATCGATGCATATGGTTGATTATAACTATGCCAAGTTGCGTATATTGAAGGTCAATTAAAATAGCGTAGAGAAATTGTACGAAGAAAGCGAATCTGAAAGAGAATGTTAGTCGTATCCTGACGTGTTTCGCTTTCTAAATTTCAAATCATATAACGTAGTAGATAAAACGATGACGATAATTCTGCGATCAGCACATGATGATGCATGTTGCTGCAAAATCAATCTTGATGAATTTCTAATTTTTGGAAGATCAACATTTATAAGCAGAAAGAAATTACTTGATATATATGAAGACATTACTAAAGTCATTTTAATGAATGTTTAATATTGAAAGATTATAATATATGATAAAAAAGTTAGAAAAAATAATTTGTTATTTTTAGAATCTAAATGATTTGACTAAAAATTAATTAATTATTATAGAATTCTTGCTTGATAAATGTAATGAATAATTGCGTAATTTTGTTTTAATTTACAAAATGTAAATTTTGATATTTTTAAATGTTATTCTTATTTAAATTTAACCTGATGTAAATTTATAATAATGATTAGTTATAATTGTATATCGGTTTTAAAATAAAAATAATCATTTTTATAGAAATAATACTATTTGACATTTATATATTTCTTTTTTGACATATGTCACAGATCTCCACAAGCTAAACCATGCGGTCTTCATTGGGATATATCTGACGAAGCATAACGCTTTTATTTTTTCAAACTACTGTGCATATAAAAGGGGAAATTGATGGAGTCGATGAAGAAAAACGTTTCTGCGAAATTTCAACAGAGAGATCAGATTGGAAAAGGCAAACATCAGAATTGTGATACTGGTGATATTCAAGAAAAAATGAAGAAAGTAGACGTGAAAACTTCTTCACCTACCAGCCTGTTGGCCAAAAACACTTTAGTGTTACCTACTGGAGTCATTAAACCGGAGCGAGCGAAAGCAAAAACCGAAACAATGTTATCGTCCGGATCTGCTACCGGTAAGAATGTCCGATTATTTTTAACAAATATTGATTCTTTCAATTATCAAAAAAAATCATACATTTTTTCTCATTCTGCACAAAAATCTCCATAAAAAATAATACAAAAAAAAACAAAATAAAAGAGATTCATGCTTTAATACTTTCTTATTTTTTCTACTTTTTGTGAAAAGAATAAAATTTTTAAAACTTTGTCTCATGCATTTTAATGCGACAAATTCTATAAACAAAAATTATACAAGAGAGAGAGAAAATTTTCTTTCTACCTATTTTTTTTCTCATCACATTGCGATCCAGAAGAGTATATTGCGAGTCTTCTTATTTCATTCCAACAATACATGTTCCATCGTTGAATTGGATGATCAATAGTCTTTCATGTTACTGACTTCCCGCTTTGATCTTGGTACTCGGAGAAGCGGTCCGAGACTGGAAAGAGATCCTGCGTGTTGAGCTGCGAGTGTCGTCTATATCGCTACTATATTGATCTACCTGTCTCAGGGTTATATTCGGCCGCGTGTTTCAGCGCAGTACCCTCCGGTCCTTCACCACGAGATCACCGGAGAGATCTCGTCGCTCTACTCTCGCTCATTCGTGGGATTTCCCATTTTTTTCCTTTTAAAATCATTAGCAGTTGCCACCATTTCGTGCGTTGCCTCTCTCTCTCGCTAATGTAAATGAGAGACGTCCCTTTTCGGGTATACAACCGTATTTGAAGTGAGCACCGCGTTAGAGACGCGCGCGTCATCTCGCCACGATGCATAATAAATGGTCCTTCTCGTATCTTTATTATTAGTACGTTGGTTGGATCGATCTCGTGACCTAAACCATACACACACACAGACACACGGGCGGTCGAAACCATTTTCCATGCTATATAACTGCTACACTTAGTCAAAACTATTTAACTCGAGTAGCATTGTTGAATTAACCAGGGGAGGACTTGGTTTACTTCGAGTTTACCTCTCCATTTTCGAAGTTTTATCTAATCAGATTTCATAATCGAGTATATCTCTCTTGATGAATTTAAACTAGCTTCTTAATTTTTAACTAAATAATTGTTTGACCTTTTAGGATGTTCTACGGTACTTGTTAATTATGCTCGAAATGGATGAGTCTCGTACTTTATTTGAGATTTATTAAAGAAATGAACAGAATTTTGTAACGCGCAAAAGGACAATAAATTTCTTTGACATTATTCCACACACACACACACATTTACAAATAAAAACTAGTACTATAAATTTATTAAAAAATATATCGCTATAAAAAAAGGACGTAAATATGGAATATATTTAGATAAATAGAGAAAAAATATATAACAATAAAAATGAAAAATAAAATATATTAAAGAGTAGCATTTCATTGCCTTGAAAATTGTAATTAAAGGACAATAAGAGTATTGGACATCAGACAGGTGTCGGATTATCAGTTATTGGATTAAAAATGGGCGATCAATGATGTGGCGAATGATATTTGCGAATCTGTGAGAGTCTGTTTGAAGTTAAATTCATATGATATTTCCGCCTCGTGAATTAACTAAACGTTCGTAATTACATGCACTTTAATTAGTTAATTGCTTTTAATTGTTATATAGCAGAGAGTCGAGGCATCAATAGTTTTCGAGTTACAAGCAATTGAAAAGGAAGGACTTTTCGCAAACTATACTATAGTATACTCTGTGGAGTTGAAAAGTTAACACAAAACTACACTCTCTAGTTAATGCAATTTACTTTAATGGAATTTTAATTTTAACTTCATAAGACATACATATGTATATAATATGATGAAAAAATTGCAAACTTGCAAAAAATTATGATCTCTCTCGACATTTTTGTCGAGGAAAAATTAATTCCAAAAAAATAATTGTCTAGACAAATATTTTTATATAATTTTATAAATACATTTTATAAATAAATTTTATAAATTTATATACACATACATTAATGCGTGCGTGTGTCTATATATGTGTATTCATAGCTTCTATCGATGCACAAATATGACCTCGATATTTACCTGTGACATTATTACATCTCTAGCGTTCGATCCTATTAATATGTTTCGTTTATCGTTTCTTTCAAGGACAGATTCTTCTATTTATCTTTTCCATTCTACTTCGTATACGTCAAGAAAATTGAATTTCCACGTGGTATCGATGCAATATTGAATAATTAAAATATTTTAAGAATTTTTTGCGGTTTTCATTTTCCTCCTTGTTTCACGAAATAATCATGAAAATGATCGTGTCTCCGCGATTTTTATCGTTCCTATGAAAAAATGCCACGATGCTGCGGCGCTTCTTTGGTTTCCGCCGCGGATGGCGATGGGTCTCCGCAGAGTCTTGGTCTGCAGATCCAGGATGGTTAGTAATTAGTGTAATTGCCAATTAATCTATTTTCGTGATCACGTTTACATGTATGCGCACGTGCTAATTGTTGTGGATAAATGATACTCTTTATACTCTCGAGCATTAATTTATATAGTAGATAGACGATGTCTATTGCGTGCGAGAAAAACAATTTTTTTTAAAACTTGAAAATATGATAAAGTAAGACGATTACGTCTATCGATTAATAATTACAAAAAGTGACAAGTCAATTACAAATTAATTTATCTATGATAATTTTAATTATGATGCAATTAATTGTAAATTAGATACAAAAAATAAATGGACTTACGCGCAGCTACAAGTTTGAAATGTAGAATGTAAGAATATGCGTGATACTATTATATATATATATATATATATATATATATATATATATATATATATAAAATATATATATATATATATATTATATATATTATATATATATATGTGTATATATATATATATATATATATATATATAATAAATGCAATTTTTAAATATACTTTTAAATAGATTTATATAATGCAAACAATTTTAAAAGGAAAAAATATAAATAATTTTGATTTTTTTTACAGGAAACCCTCGAAATAAAACAGCCTTAGCACCAGGGCATAGTCTGATGGATTGGATCCGTCTGGGTAACTCGGGAGTCGATTTAACCGGAGTCGGTGGTGTACCACGGATAGTAACATTATCCGAGCTCGCTAATCATAATAAGCAAACCGATGCTTGGATCGCAATACGTGGTCTGTTTATTTCTGCACTTTATGCTGTCTCATTAAGAAAAGAATTTTTCTTTGTCGACAATTATCTATAAACAAACTATACATGAAAAAGACCACATTGTTAAATTATATAATTACATGATAATTAAAATCTACTATTTATTTTTGTTCGCTACTTGTTGACTTATGTACGCATAAATTAACGATTTTGATGTCCTTCCAAAATTTTAAAAAATTCTTAAAATTCTTATTAAATTATCTAATTTAAATTATCTTTAAATTTTTATTCTATATTTAAAAACCTAAATAAATTTCTTTTTATTTTAGAATTTTTTTTTAACATTTGATTTCCTTTGTAGGAATCGTATTCAATGTTACGCGTTATATGGATTTCCATCCGGGAGGAGTGGACGAATTAATGAAAGGTGTCGGCAAGGATGCTACGCAGTTATTTGATAACGTAAGATCCTTCATTTATCGTCGTATCATTTTGTATTGCTGCATCATCTTGCTAAGTAGTAATTATTTTTATGTACCCGTAGATCGTTAATTCCAGGTGCACGCTTGGGTGAACTACCAGAGCATTTTACAAAAATGCGTCGTAGGCAAATTAAGCCGTGGCGGATCTTCCACGTCGAGTACTACTTCTTCCGTAACGGAAAAGTCGATTTCGAGTGCGAACAACCGTTCGTCCGTGACGTTAGGTCTAAGCAAAAGTTCCACTGGTGAGTTCCTATTGAAGCTGTTGCATCGTGTCGTTTTCTGGGTCATCTATATTTAGAGAAGCATCGCTGAATTAATAGATCGTATTGGTTTGTTACAATTGTCTTTGTATATGTTTGTGCGCATTCTAGTTCAAAGTTAAGCGAATAATTTTTTAAGCATAAACATTGAAAATTATATTATTCTTCAAAATATGATTAATTTTTATAAACTATTTTTAATTATTTCTTACATAAGTCAAGATGCTTTTGTTCAAATACCTCTTTATATTAGATTTATTATATTATTGTATTTACCATATATATATTAAATTAATGATTTATTATTAGAATACATTGTGAATAGAGATAACATTAATGAAATATATCGCGTTTCATATAATTTTATGCATTAAATATATTGTAAAATAATTATTGCAGTAAGATATTTTATTGTTTTAGCACAAAAACCAGTTGAGGAAAACTCTTCAGATACATGTAATGTAAATATGGATTGGCGACAAACATCTAACTCCATCACGCTTTTTTATCAATCTATACGCGATTCTCCAGGAGTATATTATCAACTACAAAGGATAAGTGATTCAAAGATCATCTTCAAGCTCATTTTCGAAAAGCACATCATCATCGATGAGCTCGAATTAATTGCAGATGTGGAATGGCCGCCAATATGTAAAAGGGATTTCGATATAATGCAGGTAAATTTTATTTTAAATAAATTCAATAAAATATTTATCTCTAATATACATTAAATTCGTGTTTTAAATGTTGCAGGTAGATTTTACGTTCACAAAGAAGATTAAAGATATTTGGAAATCTCAGGGAAACCATACATTATCGCGAGAATCAATCACGAACAAACGCACGTACAAAGAGTACAAAGTACTCAGTAATACACTCCTTTGCAAACTAGTTAATTTATTAGTTTTGCGTGCGACAGATTTTCTAGAACTAATTCCCATTGGTAGACACATAGAAGTTAAAATGAATATAATGGGTAAGCACATAATTATATACATATTTTCTTTCGACTTTTCCTATATGATAACATATATATATATATATAAAACGCTATCAAAATTATACTGATATGGAATGTTTGTCGCAGGAATGGAAGTATCAAGATCATATACGCCTGTCCCACCGTGCCTTCATCCTGAAGATATGGCGCCAAATTTCAAGCCAGATTGTATTTGTCTAATGATAAAGCGATATCAGAATGGCACACTCAGTCCGTCCATCACAAAATTACAACCAGGCCAAACCCTTACAGTGAGCAATGGTTTAGGTGCCTTTGTAATCGAATCGTTCGATCGGCATTCTGTCATTCATATGCTGGCAGGTGGAACGGGTTTAACCGCGATGTTAGGAATAATTCAGCGAGCATTGGCAAGACGCAGCGTGTAAGTATAAGTATCAATATAGGATATTGGTTTTTCTGAGACTTTACTTGTGAATCTCTTACTTTCTCTGGTTCTTTAATGTTTGAAATAGTATAGAATAACAACAAAATACTAAAAAACATGATATTTAGTATCGATAACAATATAGACAATTGCTCAATTGATAATATAATGTGATATTATTTGTATTCGTTTCTGTATATCTTTCTTTAATTAATGTAACACTTTCAGAAAATTAATCAATCTTCTAAACTTCAATAAGGACGAAGACAATATGTTTTATGTGGCACAACTTGACAAAGTGTCTGCAGAGAAGAAGTAAGTATACACACACATATTGAAAGTGTTAGTGTATACTTCAAATTTTGAAAATTATGCTTAATTATTTCTACAATTATTTTTATAAAAATAAAAGAAAAATTTTATAAAATTAAATGATATCTAAATATTTTATATCTATTTTATTAGATTCAAAGTTACGCATATCCTTTCGCAAGGAGGAGATAAGTGGGAAGGTAGACGCGGTACTGTATCTGATGAATTGTTGAAGGAATTGATTGGCGAGTATTCATCGGAGGGATGTGTATTTATATGTGGACCAAAAGGATTTATGCTATCTGCAAAAAAGTAAACGAAACTTTTTATTTGTTAAATTTATATAAGTCATAAGTAAAATTTTAATTGTATTATTATTTTCTCAAATTCACATAAATAAATATTAATTTTTACTATATAAAAAAGTAAAATATGTATATGATTATTATTTTTAACTGACATTAATTGTTATTTTAATAATTTGCTAATTTATTTCCTTGATTATTAATATATCATCATGTTTTAGATGTATTCAGAATCTTGGTTGGAAGCCTCATCAAACATATGAATTCGACGATTAATCGTCTGCGTTGAAAGTAAACGTGCCGAATATGTTTTTTTCCTTTCTAGATAGCCTTTCTAGAAAGCCTAATAAAAGATGATACTCGTACCTGTTGAATCACCTTTAGATAAACATTAGTGCAGATGTTCTGTGACAGCCACGTGGACTGTCATTAATGTGTCTATAACCAATGTGTATTTTTCTGGGATAATGAAGATTTGTAAGCACTTTTACTCCTGTCTCCGCCCATAACGATACATTCTTAGCTGCGAAAGATTGTAATACACACACATTGTTTGTGTAGATTTACATGTAATTTTGCATTTGCGTGGCAATCAAGAAATAGAGATAAACTGTTACGCGATTTAGGTAAAAGACCGAGAATATTCAATTCATATAAATATGGAAGATCTTTTTTATATATTTAATTTTATTATAATTTTTTAAACTAAATTGTTTTGCTCTTGTTTGCAGAGAAAACGTTTTGTTAAAAAGATTATCTTTATTAAAATAAATATTTGATAGGAAATCAGGTAATTTTCACTTTTTTAATTCATCTTTTAATTTTCCTGATTTGTCTATCATATTATTTGCATACAGAAACATAATTTTAAAAGATATATTGATATATGATTTATATTTCTATGTTATTATGAGATATAACTGATAACTTGAGGTTTTTTTCATGCCAAATATAACAGCAAAGGTACTAATTTGAAATTTTATATAATATATTAGCTGTAATTAGCTGTTGAGTTTCAATCATACACATAGACAACGTGCACATCTTTTCTATGAAGATTTTCAATGCCCATAACATAATGCACAATTAAATAAGCAAATAAAAATGCAGTGAGGATAATTTTATGGTGAGTTTGTTCTTCGATTATGATTATGGAATTTTATATATATTTCTTTTACATAAGATGAATGATTTTTAATTAATGCGTATCATTTATTATTACGTATAATACGTATTGTATATATATTTATATATTTTATTTGTGTAAATAATTAAGATTAAAGATTAGATTAAGATTAAATTATATATTCTTTGAAAAAACGTGATATATAAAAATGCTGTGCATTTTATTATATAGATATATGTATATATATATATATATATATATCAATTAATTGAGATATATTAATTGAGAATAAATGGATATTGAATGATTGCTGGAAAATCGCTCGCATTTTCTTATATTAAAATTTGAACATGCCATTATTTTTTGAGCTATATCTTGAAAGAAAGAAATTTTCTTTTGTTAATTAATTTTTAATCTTAACTAATTATAACTCATATAATTTGATAATTAAAAATTCAAATAAATAATAAATTAATACAATTGTCGCTCGTATATTGAAAACAAAGTGATAAATATAAGGCCAACTTATCGAGCTGAATATTCGAGATGTTCAGTCAACTACCATTTATTACATGTATAAATTATAAAACTACAGTCATTATATTAAAACTAACGCAAATTACAATCATTCTATAAACGTTTCGACCGCACGCGGTCTTCTTCAGTATAATTATTGAAATATAAATTCTTACAATTCACATAATATCGAAATTTAATTATAGTTATTCAGAATCAAGAGTTTTTGAGCAATTAACGCGTGTTTCAATCCGTCCTGTCCAACAATGTTCGCCTCGATATGATCCCTGATTTTGTTCAGATCTCGGATAGTTTCATCGTTAATATGCGAGAAATTAACCCGTTCCGTAGGCGCTGCGATTAATAAAAAATTACCGATCAACGTATGTCCAAATTATAATATGTATCCCCTACAATTGGTAGTATGCTTACCTATCATCGTTCTTCTTGGCAATTTTGCTACTTATTAACAGTTATTAAGGATGACACATAACAAACCAACAATACAGAAAGACAGCTCATTTTAAACTCTACTTGATCGGAGAGCGTGCGTGTTTATATATGATCTAATATCTATGTTTTACTCGTTAATGTCCTATTTGTCCTATTATTATTTCTTGTTCGCTAATATATCCAAAATATCAAAATACGACTCGCTAAGTAACTCAGTATCTTTGTTTAAATTTAGTCCATTTTTTTGTTCCTTGATATGTAGCATCTCAGAAATGAGTCTTTTATAATAATTATTTTCGTTGTCCATGATCTTAACATTGTCCCAATTAAAAGTATGATGTTCATTTATTATGTGTTCAGAAATTACTGAATGTTTCGTTGAGTCCAATCTAATATTATTTTTATGTTCTTTCATTCGCGTCTGCAATTGCCTCTTTGTTTCGCGTGCGGTCGAAACGTTTATAGAATGATTGTAATTTGCGTTAGTTTTAATATAATGACTGTAGTTTTATAATTTATACATGTAATAAATGGTAGTTGACTGAACATCTCGAATATTCAGCTCGATAAGTTGGCCTTATATTTATCACTTTGTTTTCAAATAAATATTTTGTTTACAACCTATTATTACTAATTAAATAATAATTTTACTCTTTTTTGAAATTTAACTTGTACTTTGATTATATATATTTATAATTTTATTTGCAGATATTCGTGGCTTTTGTGTTCTGCGCTTCTGAGAATAAACGCCCTTATCTCTGTACAGTCGAAAAAATTTGTGACGCGAGGATTGAGACTATCTTCCCTTCTCTCCTGCTACATGTTCCTCTCCTACATCGTGAGAGTGCTACACAAATTGAAGAAATATACTACTCGGCTCTCGCCTCCGTTAAATTTCTTAGGTTGAAAAACTGCCAAGGAGTATTCCGAGAGTGATATCCAGGATATAGCGAAGATGTAAATTTTCACCTTCAATCTCTCCGAGATGCCTCGCCACCCCCAATAATGTACACCGGGATATTTATCTTAGGCAACCGAGGGAAGAAACCCGAACAAGAAGAAGAAGAAGAGGAAGAGGAAGCGAGAGAGCGTAATAATAACGCACCCCCGTCCAACCCCCGGCCGTCACTCATCACCGGGCAAGCGGTTTACACAAAAGAGGCACCCGCCGACCGCTCGACTGATAAGAGAACTTTCCATAATGCAAAACTTTGTCGAGGCCGGCTTAATTTTCTGGCGCCGTATACACAGAAGTGCCTATTGATCGCGGCAAGTTCTTCTTCCCCACGAGATGTGACGTAACGACATCACAAGAGAGGCGGACAGCAAGATGAATGTCTTTCGATGTCGACGACGGCAAAGAAAATTATGTCACACAAGCGACGCGGCGCCTGTTGGATCTCGATCGTGCGACTCCTTCCTCGTGTGCATGTATTATATGTGTATCCATTCTTCCCGCCTTTCATCGGATAGTTACATAGCACGCGACAAATTGCGCAAAAAGCTCGGGAGCATTTTAAGCAAGGTCGCTTGAAAACTTAACGACCTGGATACGTGTTCCCTCGTTATTATTACGCTATTTCGTCAGGGGATTTCGAAATCTGCGATTTACGAGAATTTAATAATACACTTTGATTTTTAAACCTAAAATCATTGAAAATTTTTGTTCCTTCTTTTTTTCGACAAAGTGGGACACGTGGATATTACGAAAACGCTCTGTCTTCGTCGGGTAATGATACGCTAACTCTCCCGAAAGTCACAGCTGACGAGAGATAAATGCCTCCTCTAAGAACACGTGTCTACGGTAAAGCCTCGTTTCTTCGGTAGCGTATTTGAAAACCGATATCCCGTGATGCGATCGACCGATATTGAAAATTAAAATTCTATACACCTATATATAGCGGGAACGAATTTATCTCATATCTCGCGCCTCTGTCTGCCATCAAAATAATAGTTCGTCGACACGATGTCAATGTGTAGCGAAACACGCGCTCTTGCGGAGAGGAAAAACAGCGACCAGCGATCAATTCAATTTGTAATTTTCTCGGAAAATCTAAAGCACGAATAATTTTTAAATCTCTACATCACACGACCTGTATCTATCAGAAAGTAATCAAGTTAAATTGATTTTTTCAATTGACAGATCATCATGTATCAGAAATTTGTATATACATATAAAAGATTTTTTGGCATAGATTATATGTTATATATAATTTTTCAATTAATTATATATTATAAAATTATAATTATATATTAAATTAATAATATATATCTTTTTTGTTTAAAGATTAGAACTTATCTCTTCTAATTAAGTTGATTATGCCAAAAAAGTAATTATACTGATTTTTAATTACAACAAAAGATAGAATAGAATGATATTTGCAGAACGAAATGTATTGACATTTACATATTTTTGAGGGAATTGTCGAATGCATTATACACGATGGTCAAATAATGCATCGCGTTGCAAGAAAAAGGGTAGCATTATTCCGCAGTCGGAATCGATCGCGCATCCGCTCTTTTGACGCGATCGAGATAGAACTGCATGCGAAATAGGAAGTACAGCGAGGCGAAAAAGTTCTTTTGTAATACGAGCGTGCTTACGTAAATACTTTGACGATGAAAGGGGAGAAAAGGGTCATAGTGGCAAGATGCGAGAAGTTTTGGTGAGATAGCTGCTCTCGAGTGTGTCGGAAAGTGCAACAGTTTCTCTTATCAGTACGCTCGATAAAATAAGAATCTACGGAGGAAGCTACTATAAGTTACTAAGTAATGACGAAAAGTTAGTTGCGATAAATTGACGAGTAAATGGATGCTTTGTCATTATTATCGTGCTGTTTAACTCGTAGTTCTTTCTCTGTGCGAAACAAAATTTGTGTATACTGCGCGAAACATATGTATGTATGTATGACGAATTGAAGCATGTACCTGTCTCTCAAGTTTTTCTACCAGGATGATGTCATCACCTTTTGTATATGGTATCGGTATCAAAATTGCTATTTGCAGACAGATCCGTGAGAAGCATGAATTTATCGTACCGCGGAATAGAAATCGGCAGCTGGATTGACATCATAGTGGAGTGAGAAAGTGCTTTTACGTTTCTCTGAGTTTTTATCGAGAAAAGAATCGAAACGAAAAAGTATCGTTTCGTTAAAGCTACATCTGCTATTTTAAGGGATCGTAATTTGGTTCCGTAATACATATATTGAAAATAAATTTTATAACGCGTTATAACTAGAGGAGGAGAGAGAGAGAGAGAGAAAATGGACGATATTATAATCGGGAAAGAGAATTACTATGAACGTGAGTTTAAAATTTTATCATTTTACTCCGAAAAAAAAGAAAAAATTCTGCACGTGCATATAAAACTTGGGGACAAGGTCTATTTTTAAATCCCAATTTAGAAGAAAAGTTTTGCATAAATTGGTGAAGTAATTTTCATTATTAGACAGAAGGAAAGACGGATGGTGAATACGGCGGATGAATGGAATTGCGGAATAGATGAATCCTATTTTAAGTTAAAAACTTCGAATTCTCTCTCTCTTTCTCTCTCAAACACACGTACATGCATACACACATATTTCTACTCGTTTCAACTTATCAAGGACCTCTTGAACCAGCGTCTCGATAATCTCTAATCCAATTTTCCTTCTCCGTCTATATTATAGATAGAATCATAGTTTAGAAAGGAACAGCGAAATTGTTGAACCGGTTTGTGAACTAATTCCTACTGTTGGTGTTCAATTCGGTCCAACTCCCCGTACCCTGGGGAATAGTTAGTGTTATACCTAATAATCGTACTTCCTTTGAGACACGAGTTTTCAAACTTGCTCCAATTCCTCCTCTAAATCCAATTTCCCCCCCTCTGCGCCATTGCATAACTATAATATATTGTTACTTTATAGTTTAATAGATAGGAAGATATGCGTGCGATGTGGAATTATGCATCATGTTTCAACTCGGAGATTAAGTGCTGTCGATGTTTAAATAATTGTCAAATCAAGATAGCATCGGTACTCGAAGAAAATCGATACACATTGAACATTATTATTGTTTAAAATAATGAAAGAAAAGATTTTGTAATTAGTTAATGACAATCAATATATAATGTTATATATTATGCGTATAATAATGTATGTATAATTTATAAAAAAAATTGTACCATCTCCGATTATCTTAATCGATCGATTAAATTAAAGTATTGTCAACTACAAAACACAGACATATCTTATTATAAATAAAGTCGATCACTTTTAAGTTGGCAATTTTTATATTTAATCAATCGATCAAGTTAATCGCAGATGATAAAACTGGTTCTAAAATTAAGAGAAATGTATCGATATATCGATACTATTGATAATATCGATATATCGATACATCTGATATTCGACAGTACGTCGCATTCACATTATTATACGGATCGTCGTCGATGGCTGAAGGGATGAATATCAAAGGAGAAATATTTCACTTTTCAAACAAGGGGTAAGAATATTTTAATAATTTTTTCCTAGTCAAAATGCATCATAAAATATACATGAATTTACATAGACACATCGACGATAAAATTACAGAAGACGACACGCGCCCGAAAGAGGAAAAGAAGAAGTGGAAGGATGCGGAGCAACGGAAAGAGGGTTGGAAAGAGAGTCTCACGCCGGGGGACGGCAGAGGGTGCGGATGTACCGCGGGAAGCAGGCAGCAGGGAGGCGTATAGGGATGCTGCGAGAGAGCACAGAGAGAGGTGTTTCAGTCGCGCGACGACTCTCGTCCCGGCCAGTCGATAGTCGAGGAGTCGTTTCGTTCTACGGTCAGCGTCGGTGGTTACGCAGCGGGAAATCGCGCCGCTCGGGAAGAGACGCGCGCGAGACTCGCCGCGCAATTTTTTCCGCGACCTGAAGTCGGCCGCGTCTCTCCCTCGCGCGCGCGCCTACTATCCTCGCGCTTCGAGCGCGAGCAATGTCAGACCGAATCCCGCGCGCCAACCACCTGTGTCGTGTCGTCGTTAACGTCAACGACGACTCCTCGTTATTCTCGGGTATATCCTCGCGATATCGATAGACATACGTACGAATGGCGCGTCGAGGTCGTCGCGGACATTCGTTGTCGTTCTCTCGCGAGGAGGACGTCCGCGCGGAAAAAACCTCAAAGCGAGAGAAGTAAGCTCGGGGAGTCAAGGTCGTCCGGAGAGTGCAGCCTCCCTCTCTGTCTCTCTCTTTCTCGCTCTCTTCTCCTCCTCCTTCTCCCTCTTCCCACCTTCTCGTGACAGCTCGAGGGCGTTGGAAATTCGACGAGCCTGTGCCGAGTACCGGAATCACCAGGTTACGATGGGGGAAGGATCATCTTCTCGATGAAGGTAAGAGGGATTATTTTATTGCGCGCGCGTCAACGTTTCTCTTTCATGCTTTTTTTCTCTTTTCTTTTCTTTTTTTTTTTTTCGATCGCCGCGAAGCGATGTTGATTTGCACGCGACAGAGAAATTGATCTCGCGAACGAGAGAGATGTTTTTCTCCCGCGGCAATTTGCCTAACGATTTTACCACTTTTTTGTTCCTTTTTCTGCCTTTTTTTTTGGTTACGCGCGGCGATTCGAAGAGTTTCGAGGTCAAAATTATATAAGTTTGAACAGAACCGCAAACGCGCGCGCTGACCGCTAATGCGAGCTCGCATTAAAGGCGGTAGGAGCCAAATGTAGCCGCTTTCGATATCGACGCGAGATGCCGCAATCTAATTAATTATTACCTGCACGTAATACTATACGTATGTTCGATGCTGCTATGCGCTCGTGTTAATTGCACCTTAGCTTTTAATACACGCGCACGATTGTTTTATAATATTTTATATTTTATATCAATCGATTGTGTATATGGGTTACGCGCGATATATTTTTTATTTAAACTCGTTTTGAAAATTTTACGCACGATATCGGGTTACTTTTCCGGGAGTAAATGGAAATTTAAATTGCTCCCTGATAATAATAGCATTGAACATTGACATAACGTATAATGGATTACATGTGTATATGTATGTATATGTATACACGGAGTGGAGAACATTTTTTAAAAAAATAATTATTCTCTTCCCTTATTATCATCATCGCGACAGAAATATCACATTTTGTGAGAAAAACTTTGAGAACTTAAACAATTTTGTCGGAGTAATTTTGCTTAATTGCGACTTGCAATTAACACTACGTATGTTAATTATTTTTCCATTTATGACAAGCGAAATGATTAATATTTTATTTAGACGACCTAGTCATTTCAATTTTGTCAACGTATTTACAATTGCTTATTTCGTTGCGACGAAACTGTGTCATAAATATTTCTGTATATTGCTTTTTTATATCAGTATTGTAATTAATGCCATTCACCTAGAACTGACAATGAATATAAGAATTTTCGAAAATGAGGGATTTACGATTTATACTCAGCTTTGCGATTAGCGAATGCAAATGTTTCATGATTTTTTTATTGATGTGTCAATTTGGGCAGCTCGTGAAATTTTAATTGAAGCGCCTATGAGACCATTACTTTTGTGGAAAGTATTTCATTTTTCACGAAATACTAGTAATATTGGCTCATAAAATTACGTTGATTGATCACGCGTGAATATCTTGCTGAACAACTTTTAAAGCAAATATGTTTCGCGCTAAACTCGAATTTTCTCGTATCTAAAATAATTAATATATGAAGGATACTTATTTTAATAGCATAATTTTATTATTTTTTAATTTTATAAAGCTTTAAAAAATTGGGTAATAATAATTTTTTGAAAGAAAAAGTTTTTTGAAGAAGCAATTATATAGCTTTTTAATCTATTTTATTCAACACTTATCTTTTTAATGTATTCTTTTTTTATTATAATTACAAATATTAATTATTATGTAGTGGTATAACTTATTAATTAGTATTATATATACGAAAGATATATATATATAACTTTACATTATTTTAGTCGCTCTCCAATTTATAAATTCATAACTTTTACGGTATTATACAAAATATAAAATATCTCACAAATCAATACTCTTGTCAAAATGTTGCTGTGAGAGTTAATATCAAGTTTTATGGTTCCGGATGATATCGAAATATTATATTCTAATAAATTTACACAACATTGGAAAATATATGTACACGTATATACGCGCGGAACACAATTTTTCAAATAGATTTCTTGCTTCAGTTTCTCGAAAGAACGTCTGTTGAATTGCTCAAAAACATTGAGATTGTTTCGAGATAACGTACGTCGTAATTGCTTTCGTGTGCGCGCTGTATCTTTTTTCGCCGCCGACCAATTGATCAACGTAACGCTCGTATCTCGTGCACAGAGCGAGAAATAAAAAAAAAGAGAAATAATAAAAAAAAATAGAAAAAGAGGAGACACGCGAAGATCCGTAACACATCCGTGACGTATCGCGTGACGGGGAAATTTCTCTCCTCTCCAGAAAACGTCTGGACCCGCTTATCAGCGGCGATTTGTGTGCATAATCAATTTGCACGTGCGGATTGGCTCGAGCTTCGATAAAGCGCGACGGCACGTTTGATCGCATAGGTATAGGTGGGTGGTTGAGTGGGAGCAGAGTTTCGGGTAGGATTTGAGAGGGTTGAAAAGCTTCACACAAATGCCGCTGTACGCGAAACCTCGCCTAAGTGTACCTACGTGTACAAAGCGTACGGTTACGTGCTTACATTGCGTCTCTACGTTGCGTGTATATATATATATATATATATATATATATATATATATACGTATATATGCATACATATGGTGAATGCTTCAAAGCATCTGCACGGTGTACATGAACGGTAGGTGGGTGCCCCCAAACAGACAAATACATTTTCATGGAATGCAAAATATGGAGCGACGGTTACTGCCGCATGAATTAGTGAACACAGTCTCCATCTCCATGCGTATATTTCACCGGGCTGATAGCGAAATTCCTTCCTCGCTCTGTCTGACAACCATAATTCATAGTTCACGGGTTAAGCGTAACCTTAACCCGTTCAGCCACGGGCTGCAGCTCGTGAAATCACGGTGTAATATTGAAACGTTCTTACGTGACGTTTGAACGGTATTAGGAATTTCGGTCTAATCGGATGCTTGACATTTCATGCAGAACAAAATTGGAGAATTTATTGAAATTTCTTGTTAATTTTAATTACAATTGCAGATTGGAAACGAAATAAATTTTAATTTCTGGAATAACGATAAATGATAAATATAAATTCGATAAAACGCGATATATAAAATACAGTATATTGCTATTCAAGGTGTATTTTCTTTGAAAATCTTTATCTTGCTCAAAAATTAACTTTAATCAATTTGAAACGTGGAACTTTTCCCTCTCTCCCTCAACTTATTTTAAAGCAGTTGAATCGAAGCCTTGGTTAATCTATGAAACAAGTTTATTTACAAAGTGAATTCTCTATTGTCTTTGCAAAAGTAAATTTCGATATTGTAAGAGAAAACCCAGATCTTGTACAATATCTCTCGAAGTATATTTAGCCGTTATATTTATCTGGGATGGTAAAAGATCGTTTTCTCGTGAATGTCTCATGTGTGTGATTTGTAGCGAGTTTTTTCTGTGTATTCGATTACAAAAATACCGATAATACATGTTTTGGCCGATAAAATAAATTTATCGCGGTTATTACCCAGAGTCGCGGGATTAGCAGATTTATTCGTCTTGCATCCGCGTACGCTCTAAATCTCTAATGTCTTTTTCTTTTTGGAGTTAAACCGCTGGTTTTTACACTAGCAATATATGAGTGAAAGATGATCGAAGATTTTTGATATTTAAGAATAAACTTCATATTTTTTAAAATCATACAATCTCAAATAAAAATATAGAGTACTTTTCAAGAAATTGTGATAAGGTACTCAATTTTATCACTTGTAAATTAAAAAAGATATAATATGACTTTTTTATAATATCGTATAATTTAAATTATAATATAATATTTAATTTTATATAATGTTTATAATATAATAAAAAGATTGTATTTACTATTCTCACTATTTGTTACATTGCAAAATAAGTATTTATTCTTTTTTAACTTACAAAAGCTAATTAGTTTTCGGCTTATCTTACCATTTATTAAAGGCACAATATATTATTTTTGTCCACGAAGAGCTCAACTTAATACAAAGACAGGCCTGGAAAGAATATAATTTCTCTTCTCTTTTTCTCTCTTTCTTTTTTAAAATATAAAAAATTATATTTAATTACAAGCATGTCTCTAAATGAAGAAAAAATATTATTTATTATATTTTTATTGAAATATCAGAAAGAAATACACATACGCGTGTGTATGCTGTTATATATATATATATATATATATATATATATATATTTATATTGGGTATTATAGATGTTGTATGATGTTTATGTGGTAATAAAAAATACTTACGTTTCATAAAATATTAGAATAACATGAAGTGACAGAAATAACACCATTATATTACGAGCCTAATAAAAAAACTATATATCTATTATATATAATATTCTTATTAATCTCTCAGAGATCGAGATGGAGAAAAAGAAAGAAAAGGAGAGAAAGGGTCTGCAATTATAAAATTACATTAAAATTATTACCTGCAGCATGACATAAATGCAGTTAGCCTGTCAACCGAATGAAATGCTCGTTCTACGAAAGTGCAACCTGTCATATGTAATTATACACGAGACACTTTTAACTTTTTAAAAAAAAAAAAACGAGAACACTTTTTTCCCCAAAAATACGCGCGTTGAACTATCGAGATTTAATTAGTGGTTATCACGCTATATTGCATAAACATATATCACCGATAAAAAATGCGCGCGCGTGTAACATCGTCCGCAAGAATTTCCGTGACAGGGCGCGCGCTTTATGGCTCATATATATTTTATTATCTGTAATTTTTCTCTCGTGTCGCACGACTGTTAAATGGCTGGACGAGTTTTACGTTCGCGCGCAACAGACTCTCTGTGAACATAATCAAAGATAGAGAGTAACACGAATATAACACGGAATCGAATTAACTAGACTGGAAATCCATTATTGCTTCTCGATTTTCTCTTTCACTTGACGAAACACACATAAATGCTTATTGAAAATAATTATAGCCTCGTTCATCAATCGTTTGGTTGTTCGTTTCATTATGCAACAACGAGGGGATGCATTAATTACGGGAGGATTTCATAAACGAAGAAGAATAAAATCGCGTCGAGTTTTAATTAACCCGAAGTAGAGGAAGAAAGAATAATCTTGTTCTCTCGGTTATATCGAAGCCAACCTTTGCGGAACAACCATTGATTTCAATATAGCAATTTTACGGTACCAATGTAACGTTGGCTCGCTCAATAAATACTGTA